TAGTTAGTTACACGAATTCAAACATGAAGCTTTAATAAGTTGTACTTATGCATAATTTACTTGTAATCTTGAATTTTAAGTAATATGTATCAATATACAGTACTTCATGCATAAAAAATGGGTTTTAAGAGTTTTTATCAAATGCTTTATAATATAGTATAGATAAAAGATGGTGATGAAGTTTGAAATTTGAATCAATAAGACTATTTGTTTTTATAAACTGATAAATGTTTGAATTTGCTTGAATTGTCTATTTTACCCATTAGAAAATTATAGTGTTTAATTTATATATAAATTTATACAATTTCACATATTTATTCATCATTATTACGAAATTTACATCTAAATCTAAATTATAGCATTCATTTAAACAAAAATATGTCATTAACAGTATTTAACACATTTAAATCCTAGTAAAATACACCAACTGAGAGTGGTGAGGATTGAGTTGACTGTTACATATTGATTTGTGTGTGTGTGTGTGTGTATATATATATATATATTATGTGAATGTTTCTGGTCTTGAATTGAGTCACATGATATTGATTTTTCTTTGATTATGTCCCTTGAGTCTATTCCGCATTATGATCTCGTTACATCGGTTTGTTTTCCGGATTCAAACTCATTGTTTTCTTCATTGAATTGTATGCCATAGTACGGGTGCCACTTCGTGTGGCATGCCGAAAATTGATGGCGAAGTCAAGATCCCGGGTTGGACGGGTGAGACTTTTTGTAGTTGTGGATACTCATTGCTCAAAAAGAAGGAAGAGCAATGAGTAGGGAACCTTGACACACACACCCGGTAGAGGAAGGCGGACAGTGCGAGGTTTCCCGTGATGTACGATTATGACCCGGACTTTGGCATGTGCCCGTAAGGTGAAGGACGGGGTGATGCACTGTCCTTGTTATGTTTATCGATTCGATCATTTGGTTCTTGATATTTATTGGTACTCTAASGTAGTTGAGTATATTTGGTTATTGATCATGTTTCCTTGTTGTATTGAGCATCAATGGTAGGGTATGTTATAGTGGTTTGAATATGGAATTCTATGAGATGTCCACGTGTAAARTTTTGCCGAAGAGACATTTTTATTACAACATTGTACTTTGAAAAWAATAATTTTACATATTATTTAATAAGTATATTAAATGAAGTATATATATTTTTTAAATTATTCATTAATATATCAATATTAAGAAGACTAGTAGAACACAATTTATCTCGCTAACATTTTTAAAAATTATGTATTTTTTAGACAAAGAAAATAAGAGTTGTTATTTTTTTTTTACAAAAAAATATTTATCTTTTGAAGAATATATCATACTTGTTAAAAATAATTTACTTGACAGATACATATATAAAATTAATTAGATTTTTTAATTATTCGTTAATATAACAATATTAAGAAAACTTGTAGAACACGACCTACTAGAATTTTTAATTTTTTTAAAAGATAATTAGATAAGTAGATATATTTATATGTTTAGACTAAAATATTATGTTAAGGGTATAATTTGTAATGAAATCGGCTTATTAGAAATTAGTTTGGAAAATAAACTCAATCCCAATTATTAGGGCTTATTTCCACGGTTATAGATAATGTGTTATATACAAATTAATAATCATATCATTTTTAATTTAATTTAACAATGTTTTATTTAATATATTTATTAAATAAGGTATGTGGCTCATATTTCTTCTCATAAAATTAATTTGTTTCTCGCATGATCTTCCTTCTACACACACATCCACACATAAATACACACACATAGGCGAAAGATTGTATAAGAATGAAAATTAAGGTGAGAAGTGTAAGAAGATATATGGACCCTTTTTTGATATGGGGATCGATCTGGTACATCTCGGTGCATCTCAACCTAATGTGCATCCAATAGTAGAGATATCTTCTTACGCTTCTCATCTTAACTTTTTTTCTCACCTGAATCCAACCCTATATATATATATATATATATATATATATATATACATACACACACACACACACACACATATATATACATACATATAGAGGATGTTTCAAATGCAACCATCACATTTGTACAACCAATGCAACTCAATCAATTGAGATATTTATGAAAATGATGAGAGTTCATTTATTATGATTTGAATATTTATATAAGACGACTAAGATTCATTAATTATGATCAATACTTTATATTAGAAAACAATCAAAACTTTTATAAAATCACATATTCATCAAATTAAATAGACGGTTGAGATTGAATTGTATTGGTTGTACAAGAGAAAGAGAGGAGGAGGCTTACTTTGCAAACCACGTTATTTGTACAAACCGTACAAACCTTATTCAACCAATCATAATTTTTCATTTTGTTCATTTTTTTTTAATTATAAGAGGTTGATTTATCACTTTTATTGTGAAAAGTGTTAATCATGAATATTATCATCTTCATTATTTAATTTCAGAGAAATAYATGAAACAATTTCATTAGAATTTCATCAAGTATTATATGAAACATTTTCATAACCACATATGAAACAACTTTATCAAAAAAAATATTATATGAAAAAATTTCACAAGATTAAACAATTTCATAATTTTTTTTCATAAGATTAAACAATGAAATCGACAGATGAGGGTGGTTTGCACGGTTTATACAAATTGGATGATTTGCATTTGATCGCTCATTTATATATATATATATACATACACAAACACACACACACACATATATATAGACTTGAGATCATGTGAGACCAATGGTTTTTCGTGAGACCCGTAAGACCAATTCTCAACCCTTAGATTAGATCTACAATCGTTAGATTTGAACATTCATAAATGTCACGAGACTTCTTAATAATTACAAAATTGCCACCGTGAATTTTAGACCATTAGATCATTAGCTTATTAAGTTAATCAATGAACATAAATTGGTCTTACCGGTCTCACGAAAAACCATTGGTCTCACGTGAACCCAACCCTATATATATATATATATATATATATATATATAATGAAACTTTAAAATTAACTAATTTTTTAACATGTCATTTTTGATCATTTCACAGTTTTCAACCTTTTAAACTAGTTTTTACCAAACATTAAATAATCAAAAAACATAACCTAAATAACTCAAATAAATTATCACAATAATACCAATAATAAATAGATGATAATACCAACAACTGACTAATTAATATTTTCATGTACACTTTTTGTTGCATCTGCCTAATCAAACCCACTTAATGCTATCAATAGAAGTCTTAAATATAAAACTTATCCCAAAAATGTATTACCAATTCGACAGATAGATTAATAAAATCAAACCCTTATTGTGTTCTCAAGTATTTTTCATCAAGAAAAATAGCAGAAACGAAAAAAAATGTCACGTTCTCGAGTTCTATAAAGATAAAAAGAAAAGAGAAATAATAACAATTATAAATATTTATAAAATTACGCATTTATCAAATCAATTATAACCCACTAGAAAATAAATAAAAAACTATTTATAAAAATTACATTTTTTTTCTCTCTTACATTTCAAGAACACAGTTAAGAAAAATTACAAAATAACATTGGTGGGAACTTTCATGGTTCTAATGTTTTTCCAGAAAGAAAGAGATGGGCATCGTATGCACCGTAATGGTCCACCCCTACAACCACAAGGGTGGTGCCTGATTGGTTTGAGTTTGACTCCAAAGGTCAAAAGTACTAGGAGGTCCTAGGTTCAAATCCAAGGATGAATAAAAATCCCCTTTGTGGCCACGGAGGTTCGAATGCAGTGACTTCGGGCTATCTGTAAAGCATGTGGGTCGCCTTGTGATTAATCGGCTTTCATAGCAAGTTGGATATCCAGGTTAATAAAAAAAAATTGATCCACCCCTGCTTGAATTCTTTAATTAAAAACTTTATTGTTTAACATGTCTTTATCATAAACATCAAAATAAAGCTTTCGTAGGCATGTAAAAGAAAAGGAAAAAGAATATGTTTTATTCTACTACAACTTATCATTAATTTGACCACTAATTCGTCATAAATATTTGGCATCAATTTAATTGATAAAGTGGAAGAATTGGTGAAATCGGGCTGATGGGCTGTCTACATTTTAATGGTTGTTGTGGGCTGCATCTGTGGACCCTTCTTTTCATTAAGCAAAGGAAGTTGGTTATAGATTTCCATAATTACGTATACAACTCTTATGATATATATATATACATACATTCTGTATCTACATTTCTTACAGGTTTTGAAGAACACATGGAGAACAGCAGCACCGAGTATGGTTCTTCTTCTTCCCATTTGTGGTGGCTTGATAACAGCCATAATCGTTGCCATCAATCTCAATGGCTTCAGTTTACTCTATCAGGTTACATTATCTCTCTTTCTCTACAGACTAAATTACAGTTAATTTTGTGTCAATTTCGATATCGAGAAGTCAACGGTTTGACTCTAAAAGTCAAAGGGTATGAAAGACTAATAAGTTTGATGCATGTAGAGTTTGAGAAGAAGGTTAAAAAGATGTTGAGTTTGATTGAAGAAGATGGTGATAGTTTTGCAGAAAGGGCTGAGGTGTTCTACAAAAAGAGGCCTTCCATCATTGCATCCGCGGAAGATCTTCATGGATCATACCGGAGTTTGGCTGAAAAGTACAACCAGCTCGTGAGCGGATATGAAAATGTACGTGTACTTTTTAAAGCATATAATATGTATATACAGCAAAACTCACACACACTCTTGAACCCTTGACCTCTAACGAGGTTGAGATCTACCAGTAACCTAGATAATATCATACTGCTCCCTAATTGGTTCCCTCCTCATCTTCAGGGTTCCGATCATGACCATGACGCTGGCTTGGACTTTGAGAGATGGTTATCTCTCGAAAGCCGAACCGAACTAAAGAAAATGAAACATGGGGTTCTGCGGTTTGATGATGATTTTGAAATTGGTTGGAACAAGTTGAGGTTGACTCTGATGAAACTTGTTCAGGATAGTTTAGAGCAGAAAGTCGAGCTGGTAAAGAGGAACAATGATAATAGGGAAGCCATTAACGACCTGCGTGCTTACATCCGTAAGCTTCTCGTTCAGAATATCGAACTAAAGAGTAAATTAGCTCAGACGAAAGGCGATATAAAGCGGAATGAATCTCAGCTCTCGAGAGCAGAAGATGTCATTTTGAAAGAAATTCTGCCATAAACTGAGAAACCTATCGTAGTCCATTTTTCTCCCTTAGACACTACCGTTCGTTGGTTTTGTAGCAAGTTTTCGTGCAACTGTAATCTAAAGCTAGTCATGACTTCTTTTTTCGAGTTTTGGCTTCTCCCCTAATAGAAATAGTCAAATTTGCAATTGGTGATCCTCAACCTCCACGAGCGCCTTTTGGCGCTACACAGAGCAACGGCTATAGGCATTTTAATGACCCTCAATTATATTAGGGTGCGTTTGGTATGTAGGACAGGAAGGATAAATCAACATAAAAACTTGTCCCATGTTTGGCGTGATATTAGACAGAGATAGAACATGATTGACCAAAAGAGGTGGAAAATTAGAGAGATGGGATAAAATTGGTAGATTACTAAACTGCTCATGTCAAATTAAAACCCTAAAACCTTTCATAGTTCTTTCACCTGCCTACCTCATGCTTGCCCGTCCAGTCTTGTCCGCTACCAAACGTATCCCTAATGGCTCTAAACATGATTTTGAGCTTGTCAAATTGGCATTAGTTATCGAACATTATTTTGATAATGGTTGAACCAACAAAGCAACATGAGTGTTGATGATTCTAATATGGCATCATATATGAATATTTTCTCTTCCGTTATTCTACAAATTTAACAAGATATCTCTAATCATCGCTATACAACAAGAGAGCCCTACTACAACTCGAACTACTAGTCAAGCTCTTCAATATTAACAATGGTGATGAATGTGTTAGAATTACACTTCCAAAATTAGAAACAAAACAGAAATTAACAGGAATTTAACCAAGAAATTCGGTAAAAATCAAACCTTTTACGATGAAATCAATGTGTAAAGATCGAGAGATAGAGGCCTGCAATTGCAGTGTCCTAATACGAATTTTTGCCCCCAATCATGCGTTGGTAAACGGACGTTGTCTTGAGGATACAACTATCTAATTGGATTGATGCACGTCAATCCGATTCCATCGAATCGATAATACGTTCCATAAAGCAACGATATGGAGAGGAAATTTTTGAGAGAGAATTGTGGGGAAAAATCATATATGATTTTCTAGAAGCAAAAGATATTTATATCTTTCCAGTCTAACCGAAATAAACTGCAAAAACGCAGTTACAGGGCCTGCGCAGGTGAACCCGCGTGGAAACTCGCACCACACACTGGCAAAAAACATGAGTAGGTCATTAGTGCCCAAAGGCCCAAGGCCCAATCTTTTGACCATTAAATATTGGGTAATGTCACACCAAAACCCAATGAAAATCCTTCTCTTGGGCCTCTCTCCAACTTGATAAGTCATGTGAGTATGGCCGTATTAACACATGAAACTTTCCCTCTATTTCCTATGTGGGACAAGTTTGGACTAATATCCAACAGAATGGTCGGTCATCTGTGCCCACTAATTTGCGGGTTTTGACGTCTTAAGCAAACTTAATGGGTCTGGTAAACTCTATAGTTAATATAACAAACCGAAAAGCAAAACGTTTTATCTCAAATAGTCGACTGTCACACCCTCTCTTTGTTCTTTCTACGACTCGAATTTTCTTGGTTCCCAAACGCAATAATTTGATAATTTCTGATATATTTATCTCAAACATCTAGATTTTCAACGAAAGGATTGGATATTCTTCATGGCAAACCATAATTCAAGAAGGAAAACCCAGCGGAATTGCAATATTTTGCTCTAAACAGGTATATATTACTAATCAATATACCATATAAACGCTAAATGCGTACCATGTGCAGTGCTTTCCTCCTAGAGCTTTTGTCGTAGGACCATTCATCCTTCAAGCATGGCCTTGGCAGCGTCTATTAGAATTGGTCTAAATTCAGCCGATGCTCTACCAAGCACGGTGTATCCTTCTTTGTCTTCCACATCAACATCTGCACCATGCCTGATCAGTAGAAGAGCTACCTGTTTCACCAAACCAAAAGAAAAAGGTTAAAGAGTTGCATTTTTGGAAGTAGGATCATCGCTTGATAGATATCTTCACGCAAACAGCTGGCTGCTCTACCCTTCGAGGGAGTCAGGTCTGTGTACATCCCCCCCCAGCACCACCTCCGGTCGGGACTTACTGGGTTTGTTTGGTGTTGGTCATCATTTGATACGATATCATGGGGTACAGGAAACAATTTTTCAAGATTACTTAACAGTCTAGTTTAAGAGCATTACCAGAAATTTCCAGTATTACATGTTCATCATCATCATCATAGCCTTTTGGCAAACAAATTTCAGTCTGGCCCATGTTAGCACATGATTATGTTGCAAGAATGAGCAAGTGACGTGTAGATGCAAGGATTCAACAAATGCTAAGATGAAGACAGTGTGTGTTCACACACACACACACACACACATATATATATATGTAAGGTTGGGTTCCGGTGAGGAGAGTAAGGTGAGAAGCATAAGAAGGGATCTCCACCATTGGATGCACATTAGGATGAGATGCACCGAGAGCACCGGCTCAATCCCCGTATTAAGCGTGATTCATGGGTAGGTTTGAGATTAAAGGTGATCAAGGGTCCAGATCCCTTCTTACACTTCTCACCTTAACTCTCCTTCTCACACGATCCTTTGCCTATATATATATGTGTGTGTGTGTGTTGTGTATAAAGGAAGAAAACTATTGTCATGATTACTAGATTAAAACATAAAGAATACATACATGTTGAGCTTAAGTCTTTAACTTTTACATTGGTTGGTGCACCAATAAGAGTCTAAATTGTCAAAGAAACATAAAAGAACTTATACATTACAAAATTGAAATCCCACAAGAATATGATCGACATTAACACGTCTCGGAACAAAATCTTACATATGCATATTTTTTTTTAAATATCCAAGTAACCTTAGTCCATAGGAACAAAACCACTTCAGGAATTCCTACATTAGCCTAAAAAATAACACACTCGAACCAGAAATTTATAAAAGTTCCTCGAAAAAACGAAGATATCGTCATAGAGTAGCATATATTAAAGATCTAAGTAAGAATTTTCACAACCATTGATGACAACCAAAGCACTCAATTCTACTGCTATTTCATACATATATGCAAGAGGAACTAGATCTCCACAACCGTTAGTCATCAAGTTGACTCAAACAAAAGTAACATCTTGGTCAGTTGGCGAACTAGTGGATGAAAAGACGATTGGTTCTGAGAAGATATTTGGAGTTTACATGTAAAGTATAAAGCACACAAATCCACTGAATGAGCTGTGTGTATCTACCTCTTTGTAATGGCATACTACTGCACTCATAATAGGAGTTTGTCCTGCTCTATCAACAGCATCAATTTCTGCACCTTCCTCGATCAAAAGTTCACACAACTCTGAATTCCCTGTACTGGCTGCACGGTGCAAGGGGGTGCAGCCAACCTATATAGGTTGAACATCAAACAAGTAGATATTAAAGAGAGGATAAAAGATGTTTTCCATCAAGTCTAAAGTGCAACCTATTGAAAGATGAATAAAAAACTTTAAAGAAAATATGAAGCTACAAGCCTTGTCCTTCAAATTGATCTTTGCACCATTTGAAAGCAGAATTTCAGCTACTTTAACCCAACCCTTGCTGGCAGCATAGTGAAGAGCAGTTCGGCCGCCATCGTTTTTCAAATTTACATCAGCTCCTGTTCATCAAAATGTTATTTTTAGCAGATCAAAAAATGTCAATGTGTAAGTAATTCATATCTTGGTAGAAATATGATATCCTTATTTCTATCTTAGCAAATAGCTTTTTAAGTGACAACTCAAAAGATAAATTTCACCGAGAAAGAAGGAAAGCAAATGTCTGAATTTTTTTTTGAATAGCATATTTCACAGATACATTTGATATATAGTTGCTTTGCTTTGTTAGAAACATACAAACAACCCACTTTAGATACATTTGCGACTGAAAGGGACCCTATTATCCATTCTCCCTCACTAATTCTAAAACCCGATAAAACTCAGTTGGAACACTAAGTCAAATAATAGGTTCATTTGGAAACATTTGACCTCCATAAACTATAAGCACCTATTCAGTGATTAAGCTACATGGTTGATTTTTTACTTCTGACATGTCAAAGAACACACTTTAGATGCATTTGCAACTAAAATAAACAATTTGTTCAATCACCTCAAAATTTTCAAGGAATCGAACATTTTGAACTAACTACTTACTTAACAAGATGCATCTATTTTTACTACAGGTATGTATAATATCTATCCGAGTTAGTGTTGGAGCCAAAAAAATATTATACGTGCCAACTGAAAAACAATCATCCAACCTCTGTCTAACAAAATCTTGACTATCTCAACGTTTCCACTGCTTGCTGCCGAATGCAGTGGTGCCCAACCTTCTTCATCAGCACTGTTAATACCACTAACTGATTTATCAAAAGCTGAAAGTATCTTCACCACCTGATTTATTGAAATTAATGTTCCACAAGTGTTAGAAAAAAGGCATTCACCAGCAAATTCTGCACCTTTTATCAAAGTTGCAGCAGCTCATCAGCTAATAACCATAGAAGCTAAAGGGCTAACAAACAGCAAATCCCTAGAATACATTCAATCAATCCCCTCATTTCAAATTCATCAATTTATATAAGCACCGGAACCAAATTCACACAATGCCTAATCTTGTCATTCATCTTCCTCACAATAGTGTTCCAGTAAAATACCACATCCGTATCAAAATAGGAATATACTCAAGCTAATACCTAAAAAAATCAATTCGAAGTTGATACGGATTTTTCTGCAAATTAAACACTGTAGAAGGCAAACTCGACCTTTACTTCCTAGAACAAAGGGGTAGCAAATTTATACTAGAAAAACCTAACTAGTTTATTCAATTTCCGACAAACTCATAAAACTTCGTTTCTAAATGGAGGTAGCAAACTACAAAGTAAGAGACAAAAACAAATTAAGCTAGAACAAGCGAGACCTCGACGCGGCCTGAAGAAACCGAGAGATGAAGTAGCGATCGTCCGTCTTCGTTACGAAGATCGAGAGAACGGAGCAGCTGCGGCTGAGAGAGGGATTTGAAAAATGATACGTCGCCGGTATCGGCGGCTCTGAAGAGATCATCGTCCTTAATCATTACAGTTTGTTCGGCTTCATGCTCTGAATTCGGGGGATCTATCTCCATTTCTGTCGGCAATTTCGGGATCGGTGGTGCAGTTCAGGGTTTTAGGTGCCCTTGATAGTGGTAGCCGGAGGAGAAGGCTTGAACAGTAAGTAAGGGTTTGAATAGTAATTTGAAAAACTCAAGGGGTAAAAATACAAATCCAAAAGAAAGGCACAAAATTTTCCCAAAAAGGACGGTTCAAAGTATTATATACCAGATTTATCGAAAGTATTGAAAATAATTTTTAATATATAAAGTATTATACATTTATGTACAAAGTATTAAAAGTATTAAAAATAACTCATAATGCATTAAGTACTATTATTTTATGAATTCAATCTTAAAATCTCTTAATCTATAATTAAAATAACATATAGTACAAGTTACCAATGAAAATTATTACTTTTTCTTTTCAAGTTCCCAAGATACTTTTGACACTTTTCACTCATATCTTCACCCTCTCATACCTCTATGTCTTCTCCCCATCACCCAATGTGAGATTCAAACTGATAATCATAATGAGTTATTAAAAGTTCTCTCATTCATCTCTCATTTAATTGCTCTAAAATTTTCGGTCTCGATCTCTTGATTCCTTGCTCTTGATGTAAATCAAAAAAATTTGTGGAGTCGTTTAAATATGTTGAATTTTAAATATATTGAATTTTAAACTGTCATATAATTTTTTTCATCGATAAACTGTAATTGGAACCATAACTCTTATTTACTCAAATTGTATTAATATGTAAAGACCAAGTGTAACTTATATCATCGTTAAATCTTTTCTAATAAAACTAGTGAAACTTTAAAATCGCTAAAATTCACGACACCCGCCGCGTTGCACGGGTACACAACTAGTACATAATTATTTGCTAGAATCATAATAATTTAATGATATAAAAATAACTATTCAGTAAGCTTTTAAGAAAAGTTTTATATAGAATTTTTTTTCTTCTGAATTTGTTATTTCTGGTTAAAAAACACGTTCATTTCATATATGAAAAAATCTCTTAAAAGTACTTTCTTAATCCATGTAGACAGATTAATCTAACAGATAGTTTTATCCATATATGATTTAATAGAAAACCAATCAAACAACCTCTAAGTTTGATATGGATTAATCTAATTTGTATTGACCAGAGCATCCAGAATGTATAACCTATCCAACAACTTATTGTTTTTGCCACGTCAACTTTCCGTTAACTTATTTTAACAAAAACTTATTCTTAAAAACCTTCGCATGCAACGACTCTTTCAAACGTTTTTTTATCATTTAAAATATAACATTCATCCTCGTCTATTTAAATTGTCTTATACAACCTCATCTTAAAAAACTATCATAAATACACTGTATTTAACTGTCACATAACATTATATTATATGTTAGTTGTTCGTTTGTCATGTCCATAAAAAATTAATTCATTAAAAAAATAAAAGAATATCGAATATATTAATAGCATTCATTCATTATTAATGTCTTAAAACATTAATGAATATTTTGAGGTTCTTGATGGGACCCACTCCTATGTGTGTATATTATGTACATACTGAGAATAATCAAATAAGAATCATAAAAAAACTCGATTAACTCGATCAACTCAATCCAACCCAACATGAAATAACTCAACCCGAAGTAATCTGATGTCTAATCGAGTTGTAAAATTTTCAAATTGTAGGTATTGAGTTGAAATTGAGTTACTATTTTTGAACTCAACTCAATCCGATGAATCCGATATCTTTGTATTTTATTGGATTTAATATGATTGTTGAGTTTTCATTAATATATACATTAGACAATTACACTATCTCATACCCTCTTCATATACTATATTTTCAATCTATTATCCATCTCTATATAACTCATTCGTATATATGTTCAGTAACTCTGAACATATATATGTAAATTGAGAAAATTAATTGAATGTGATATACGTAAGATTTAAGAAGTATGGATAAAGTTGTATCAAATGTGTAATGATGAAAAATAAATTATGAGTAGATAAATAACATATTCAAGGTTAGAAGAATATTTTAGTGTACCAAAGTATCAACCCGACCAATCCGTACTATCTAGGTTGGGTTTGGTTGCATTTTGGTTTGGGTTGAGTTAAGATTTTTCAAACCGCAAACATTATGTTAAGTTGTTCAAACGTCTTAAACCCAATCAACTTAATCCACGAACACCCCTAGTATATTATATATACATAATATGTGTGTGTGTAAACTAGTCCACACAAAATTTAGACCAATCAATTCCCACAATTAACATCGATCTTTATCTGTACCGAATAAGACCCAATTAATAAATTGGTTAAAAGGTTGAAATAAAATTCAAAAAGATGTTATTTTAATAAAGTTTTACTCTTTAATAATTGAACTTTGTTTTTCACGGTTTAGGTCCAAGTTGGACAAAACCGAGAGCAAGAGAATCATTGCCTATATATGCCTTAATTAGTTACACCAAACCAACCATTTCAACCTTATCTTAATCTCTTTAATTATTAAGCAAAATGGACAAGTTAACAGCCTGTTGTGCTTATTACTTAATACATTACTAGATGCCTCTCAGCCGACCAACAACTCTTTTATACTATTTTTATGTGACAATCGTGTTCTTGTGTTCTCGTAAAAAGAATGTGTTTTCGTTTGAACCTCCACACATATATATATATATATATATATATNCTTATATTGAAAGCAATTTAATTATGAATTTATTGACACCAAATTGCACAACATTTTCACATGTCTTCAACATATGCAAGAAGATCTTTGTCCTTTCGAAAGATATCCATTTCTTCTTCCTGCAGACGCACCAATGCTTCAATCCCGTCTCCAGATTGAGCATCCATAAGAAGAACACAACTATCATTCACTTCTGGAATTCGAAACATTATATCCACCGGTTTCCCCCATCCGAAATCCATTTCGTAAAACGGAAACCTGCACATGCTTGAAGAAATATAGGCTCGACTTTGTTCGCCCTCTAATGGTGATAACTTGCTCAACAAGTTTCCGATTACTTCTTCCACATTGCTTAGTTCTTCAAGCTCCATGATCCCTTTCCTCAACGTACCAATCACCTCATGTAGCTTGATTTCACCTGAATCGGTTGCTATCTTTGCAATCACCGTCGTACTTAAGTTTCCTGCTGCTGTTTCTGGGAATTTTTTGATGTTTCTGTTCCTCATGTTTACCGTGTGAAACAAGTTTGATGGCATCAAAGAACCTGACTTTCTTGTGGCTGAATCCACTGCGCATTTGAAGAGTAAAGATGTCAATAATTCGACCCGACTAGGGTTCATTGGAGATGTTCCCATGGCATTAACCTTGTTCTTGAGCTCATATAGTTTTGAATTAGGGAACACAAATCTCCTTCTTACATAGTTAAGCTTTTCGGTGTCTATTAACGGAAACCCTAAGATTTCATTGTTGGTTACGGAGGAAGAAACGAAACTAGGGTTTATTGGTGATCCACCACGTGTTACAGTGGCCCAGTGGTTGAAAAAGCTGGCCATGGTCAATGCGTCAGCTAGCTTGTGCGATATAGACACCGCCAGAGCAGCTCCACCACCGGCGAAATGGTTCAGTTGGACCTCGATCAAGTTAGGGCTAGTCTTGTGCATAGTACAACCTAGACCATTGGGGATGAGCCGGTCCATAGTCTCGTCATGCTCTTTCTTGCGGATAAACTCATCAAGTCTGCCATTGTTAGAAGCTTCCAAGAACACAACTCCTTCGTCGTTACAGTTAATGTGAGGTGCATGAGGTGCTGGAAACCTGCCTGCGAATGGATAGTATTGTGTTAAAGATTGTGATAATGACTTCTTTAGGATGTGGGTGTCGCCATGGTCGTAGTTTGGGTAGAAGAAAACTATCGGCATGTGAATGTGGCCAACAAATCGATCCAACAAGGAAAGATTGTGAGTTTTGAGGTGGGGAGGTGTTGGGGAAGATGGTTTGATGGTTTCTTGAGATATGATGGTGTGAAGTTGCCTAATTCTCCCAAACCTTTGAAGCTTCGCCATGATCATCTTTTGCTAGTAATATCAAGAATTCAAGATGTAAGGTTGATATATATATATTATTTCATATAAATTGCTCTTATGGTTCTCATAATATACAAAATATGATTTTATATATATATATATATATATATATATATATAAAATCATATTTTGTATATTATGAGAACCATAAGAGCAATTTATATGAAATAATATATATATATCAACCTTACATCTTGAATTCTTGATATTACTAGCAAAAGATGATCATGGCGAAGCTTCAAAGGTTTGGGAGAATTAGGCAACTTCACACCATCATATCTCAAGAAACCATCAAACCATCTTCCCCAACACCTCCCCACCTCAAAACTCACAATCTTTCCTTGTTGGATCGATTTGTTGGCCACATTCACATGCCGATAGTTTTCTTCTACCCAAACTACGACCATGGCGACACCCACATCCTAAAGAAGTCATTATCACAATCTTTAACACAATACTATCCATTCGCAGGCAGGTTTCCAGCACCTCATGCACCTCACATTAACTGTAACGACGAAGGAGTTGTGTTCTTGGAAGCTTCTAACAATGGCAGACTTGATGAGTTTATCCGCAAGAAAGAGCATGACGAGACTATGGACCGGCTCATCCCCAATGGTCTAGGTTGTACTATGCACAAGACTAGCCCTAACTTGATCGAGGTCCAACTGAACCATTTCGCCGGTGGTGGAGCTGCTCTGGCGGTGTCTATATCGCACAAGCTAGCTGACGCATTGACCATGGCCAGCTTTTTCAACCACTGGGCCACTGTAACACGTGGTGGATCACCAATAAACCCTAGTTTCGTTTCTTCCTCCGTAACCAACAATGAAATCTTAGGGTTTCCGTTAATAGACACCGAAAAGCTTAACTATGTAAGAAGGAGATTTGTGTTCCCTAATTCAAAACTATATGAGCTCAAGAACAAGGTTAATGCCATGGGAACATCTCCAATGAACCCTAGTCGGGTCGAATTATTGACATCTTTACTCTTCAAATGCGCAGTGGATTCAGCCACAAGAAAGTCAGGTTCTTTGATGCCATCAAACTTGTTTCACACGGTAAACATGAGGAACAGAAACATCAAAAAATTCCCAGAAACAGCAGCAGGAAACTTAAGTACGACGGTGATTGCAAAGATAGCAACCGATTCAGGTGAAATCAAGCTACATGAGGTGATTGGTACGTTGAGGAAAGGGATCATGGAGCTTGAAGAACTAAGCAATGTGGAAGAAGTAATCGGAAACTTGTTGAGCAAGTTATCACCATTAGAGGGCGAACAAAGTCGAGCCTATATTTCTTCAAGCATGTGCAGGTTTCCGTTTTACGAAATGGATTTCGGATGGGGGAAACCGGTGGATATAATGTTTCGAATTCCAGAAGTGAATGATAGTTGTGTTCTTCTTATGGATGCTCAATCTGGAGACGGGATTGAAGCATTGGTGCGTCTGCAGGAAGAAGAAATGGATATCTTTCGAAAGGACAAAGATCTTCTTGCATATGTTGAAGACATGTGAAAATGTTGTGCAATTTGGTGTCAATAAATTCATAATTAAATTGCTTTCAATATAAGAAAACACATGATCATTGATTCTCATCGTTGTCAACTCTTTGTAGTTTTCATTTGATTATGTATCACATATATATATATATATATATATACTCACACACATATATATGTATGTATACGTAAATCAGTCCATGTGTCAATCTAAGCCTTGTTAAATATAGTAGATTTCTTATTCAATCTTGACTTTTGGTGTTATATTTCAGAATTTTCGTTTAAAAGGGGTTGATTCTGTAAAGTTGCTATTCAAGGAGGGTTATTTGGAGCTGTTAAGACACCTTTTCCATGTGTCTTAAGATGTCCAATGACATGTCCTCTCTTTCTCTCTCTACTCTCTACGGGATTCTGCTTAACCATGAACAATCTCGTCAACTGAAGAGGAATGTAGTCAAAGATTCCAGAAAAATGAAAAGCTCTCGTTTAGCTTTGATCTCTGAAGCTACTTCAGTTGAAACCCCTTCTACTTTTTTTACTTATTCTCTTCCTCCTATTGTTATTACAGAGATCGACTCTTCTATCTCTGAGGATATTCCAGAATCTGGTCTAGCAGATTTTGATGAATCCCTGGCCCTCTTGACTAAGTCTTTCAGAAGGTTCGTCAGCAAAAGCAACTACCACAGATCTCCCTTGCTGACCATTAAGAAAAAGCCAAAGTTTGAAAGAATAGACAAGGCCTCAGCAATCTGCTACAATTGTCACCGGCCTGAACATTTTGTAGATGAATACAGATCGAAGAAAGCTGCGACGCCATCTTCCAAAAACCCATCCTCCTTCAAGACCAAGGATGAAAAGTACTTAAAACTGAAGGAGAAGTACAGGAAGGTGAAGAACAACCAGCGAAAGGCTAAAGGCTTGTCGCTGAAGAGCATGATTGGGCTGATTCATCTTCTAACGAGGAAGATACATCATATATTTGCTTGATGGACAAAGATGCAAATGAAGAGTCTTCTAAAACATCTACTTCTTCTGAGCCATCTACCTCTTCTACTACTCAAGTATGTCTCCTGAATGAACCATCTTCTTCTTCTTCTTCTAGCCTATCTACACTAGATACGTTGACGGTTGATCTTTACAATGCCCTTAATGGCAAATCTAAAACAGAAATGCTTAATGTTGATCTTCAAGAACAGTTGAAGATTTGTCATTCTAAGATCAAAGAGCTGACATTTGTCGAGGAAAATCTTAAAGATCAGGTCATTATAAACCAAGTCATCACCGTTGAACGCGAAATGGCTATCGCTGAGCGTGAGCGAGCAATCGCTGAACTTAAGGCTGAGAAAGCTGCCATTGAAGGGTGGTGCAAAGCTTCTCTCAAAGCCTCTGATATCATCAACGCTCAGATCCCCTCCAAGATAACGACTAGTCTAGGATTCTCCTATGATCAGGAAGAACGTGTTACAGACAGGTCAAGTTTCTAGAAGGGTAGCGAAGCTATTATGGTTATTTTTGAAAGGTTAAATATGAAACTTCTTAATATATAAGTTTACAAATTCCAGAATTTTTTCAACTTCTTTGATAGTAATAAACATCAATAAACAATACTTTATACATAAAAAATGATTTGTAAAAGTTTTTGTCAAATGCTATATAATATAGTATAGATCTTTGTTATAAAAAAAATACTATTTTAAAAATATATAATATTGATAATATATGAAAACAATTATATATAGAAACAAAAAAATTCTTTTAAATTTAAATGAGATCCATTTTGTGGAGAATACAACGGTTCTTATAGATGTACCTTTTTTCAATAAGCCATCGCTACAACGGTTCTTACAGATATACCTTTTTTCAATAAACCCATCGCTACAAGGAGGAGAAATTCGAAAGCAAGAGAATATTGGTTTATGCCTTCTACGAAACCAACAACCATTTCAACATTATCCTCAATTTTTCAATTAAGACAATTTCAATAAGGTGTCTAGCAATTAATGTAAAGAGTGTCTTAATATTGTTGTTTTTTTTTAAATATTGATTAATTTCTTAATTTTTGGTTCAATACTGGAATATCGATCTTCTTTTGCTTAATTTTTAAATACGTGTTCAATTTCTTTTTTCATTTTTGGTCGTAAAATTATGGTTTCGAATTTTCTATTCCACGAAATGGTTTTATATAATGGGGAACGGTTACAATGTTTCAGTCCTGAAAAGCTTATATTTATGAGTTGTTTATTAAACAATTATTGTTTTTTATCAGTTAACTGAATACCATTATTGCTTACTGGGTAATAGATTCCAGATAGATTATGGCATTTACCAACAATCTTATTATGCCACTCTTACCCGGACAGTAATTACCACCAGGTAAGGGATACTTAATGTTGTTTTAAGGATCAAGAATCATACTAAATAAGGTAACTGATGTTGATGACCCTTACTCGGTAAATATTTACACAGTTTCACTTAATTTTTTTTTTATAAGAAATAAGCACCTAAGGCCATTCATAGCCGATTTCTTCTTTTCGCAGGACCGGATTCAAAATTTTCTATCTCGTTGAGAAGGAGCGGTATATTGCCATGTAGGATGAAGCAGTTCCTCTTTGAGGACCGCTTCTTTCTTTAAGATTAGTTGGACGCCCCATTAATTATGTCTAGAAAAATCTAAAAAATTGTCTCATTTTGAACAGAAGACCATTAAACCTTCTCATTTTGAATGATTAAATCCCCAAACTGTTTTTATGAATGAAAAAAACTTTAAACTTTATCATTTTAAATGATTAAGTCCATAAACATATCACAATGACCATTTATGTAGTTTACTTTAATAAATATTACAATCTTTATTGTATTAGTTAAAAAGATACTTTTTTTTTAAGTATATAATATTTATATATACAATAAACAAAACAAATAAATTCACACACCTTATTTATATTTGATAAAATTTAAATCTTTAACTTATTAGGAGGCTAAAAACTCACATGTCAAATCTTTTGGTTTAAAAAAAATAATAAATAAATATTTATTTATTTGGCCACTGATTTCCCGAATTCGAGGAGGAGTTGTGGATCAAAATAAAATCCACATCCATTTTGGGTAATAATATAATTACCACTCATTTCTTCCTAACATTTAAAATCTCTATTTTACCCTCGTCAAACACCACCACATATCCAACAAACACCAAGGTCAAATCCGGAAATATGCCCCCTACTTATTCATCATCCCTCTCTTTTTGATCAAAATTTTCTCACAAGTTACAACCCTAACAACAAACAATGGACGCCCTTTTCCACAAAGACAAACCCGACACCGACGGCGACGGCGAGCATGACAAGGCGAAGGATTCCGGCAAGGACCACCCAAAACCATCGAATTCTGAGCTTATGGCCAGCGCCAAGGTGATCGCTGACTACGCCGGCGGCAAGGAGAACGATATGGGGAAGATAGCCGGAGCAGCGGCCGACATGCTGGATGCGGCGGCAACTTACGGGAAGTTGGATGAGAAGCAAGGGTTGGGGAAGTATATGGATCAGGCGGAGGATTATCTTCATCAATATCAGACAACACATACTAAAACCACCAAAACCGATGATTCCGGCAACAAGACCACCACTGAAACAACCACCACCACCAAGACAGCTCCGGCGGATGATGACAAGTAAACATGTGAATCTTCAAGTATAGTAATGGATCGGATCTTATTATATATATATATTTTTGGGTTTTTAATTCTTTTCATGAGTATGAAAATGCATGCCATGCAAACGTCTTGGAATTATATTCATGAATGTTATTTTTGATAGTTTGTATTCAAATAGTTGATGTGTTTTGGGTGAAAGATTCCTAAACGAGATTGGGTTTATAACACGTCTAAAATGTTTGAGTATTATAATGTTTAAGTTTATAAGACCAAACCACAAGGGTGGTGAGTGATAGGTTTGAGCTTGACTGGCTCCAAAGGTTAAAAGTATCAGGAGGTCTCAGGTTCAAATCCAAGGAGGAATAAAAATCCTCTTGTGGTCATGGAAGTTCAAATGCGGTGACTTCGGGCTATCTGCAAAGCAGGTGGTCGCCCTGGGATTAGTCGGCTCGCATAGCGGGTTGGATATCCAGTTTAATAAAAAAAAATTATAGGACCAAACCATAAAACGTTATAAAGGACCGTTCTTTAATTAACATGTTAAATGTGTGATTTTGAATTAATTTTAGGGAATTTCATAAACGAATTTAAAGACCATGCTGTTAATTTCTATCAAAAGACAAAAGTAATACGTTTTATCATCATATATGTGATTTGTATATATGTGTATTTGTTATCTCATTTAGCAGTGTAATTAAAACTTTAGGTGTAACAGGGCCTCCAAAAAGATTGGAACTTCCATTAGCAATCTAAAAGTGTTAAAGTATCTCCAATAGATTCTCCGAAATTTCTCTAGAATGAATAATGAAAATTCAAAATCTTTAAAACAAAAACACATTCAACTTCAACAGATTCTCCATTTTAGAGATTACAGTATCGGTTATATTATTAAAATATTTTCTTCATTTTGAAGGATTTGTTGGAGATACTCTTATAATCGGTCTTTAGAACTCATTTGGACATTTTAACAAGTTTTTAGGACATTTTTATAAAAAAATGTTGCATTAGTATTTTTTATGACACTTTTGAGACATGTCCTATAAACCCAACTTTTTACAAGATGGTTGTGTTGATCTAACAAATTTTCAAATAATGTCATATAAAATAGCGAGTACAACACTTTAACTTAAAAGCTTGTTAAAATATCCAAAAACATTCTATAAACCAATGATAACACTTTTAAATGGTATGCTTTATGATTTGATCGTATAAACTTAAGTTCTATAAAATATTTTATTAGAACAATTATATATTTTATACGTCCTATAAACTCAATTTTATTGTATTGAAATTATGTGTGTTTTAAAAAATATGCTTTTTAAAATAAGAATTTTTTAAATTACATACCTTTTAAACATCTTTTTAATAAAATTATATTTTTTTAAATAAAATTGAATGAACATACGTTCATTTAATAGATAGGGTGGTAGTGGTGGAATGATAATATTAACCGACGGTCGTGGTGGTGATGACAAAGGCAATGTTGATGGAGATGTAGGTGGCAGGAGCGGCAGCCAGGTGAGGGTAGTCTAGGCTTTGAGTGTGAAATAGGTTTGATCAGACTTTTCTACCGAGCTTTTTCAGGTTTTTGAAGAAAAAAAAAACTTGACCCAATCGAACTTTTTATTTTTGGCTTGGCCCAGGGCTCCAGACTTGCTAAACCCGAACCTCGGGTCAAAAATCAGCCTTTTTGTGCATCTAGTTCTCCATAAGAGGGAGGTCATCTATGATTGATTATAACCATATTTACACATTTACAATAAAAATACATACATATGAAGGCTTGATCATATCATTTTGATCGATATTTAAAGGCATAAACACGTTTTTGTTGGGATTTTTCCGGTTAACCGAATTTTGTCCGCCTTCTCCTGGACTTTTTTTATTTCCTTCCTTTGGTTTTCCTCAGCCTGTGACCGTGCTCCTTCGGCTATTTGATCAATCATCTCCATCTCAGTCTTGTAGGTTTCCAAAGCTCGAGCCCTTTTACTCTCCGGCTTATCCTGCAACAAGTTTCAGTAACTTACTTCCGAGTTTCAATGGCATTTGTATATATATTCTATATGAGTGAGGTATTCAGTTCAAGTTTGGGCACCATTGATCTGCCAATGGAATGTATACGCTGATTTATCTCTCTCACGATGACTAGGGGACCGGTGATATGTGAGCGCTTCAGAGGATGATGTAAACCCTTTTAATCATATTGTACAAAAATGGAGAAATTAACAGTACCTTTTTAGTTGACAACTTCTTCTTCGCTTTCGCCTTCTTTTCATTTTCCCACTCGAGTATTTTGGCATTCAACTTCTCGTACCTAGATTAGGGGAAATTTGAAACACAAAACCATACACGTTTAGAACCTCGAAGGGCCACTGCAACAAAAATCGGTTTTATAAGACACTAAAAATGTCTAGATTTCCTAATAGAACGTATTTCTTGTTACGATAGAATGTTAAAACATATTTGACATGCTAACAAGTTTTTAAAACACTTTTAAAAAAGTGTCTTATTAGTTTTTTTATAGGATGCCGTTTTACACGACACTTGTTTTTATAAGACGTTTTTTCAAATGATATCGTATAAAATGACTGATGCAATACTTTAGTTTCTAAGTAGTTATAAAAAACTTGTTAGGATGTCCAAAAAGAATCTTATTAACTTATTGTAACACCTTAATTTACATGGGACACACGATTTGTTTCCGTGATCATATAAAACAGTCTATCATAACATTTTTGTCAGCATATAAAATCGTCTATTATGATATTTAGACATTTAGATTATCCTGTAAAGTTGTATTTGTTATAGTGTGTGGTTTCGAAGTATAATGCGTACCGTTCGTTGATCCGTTCCATCTCAGTTTTCTCCCAAACATATGCCTTTGTGTCTTCGAGTCGGGATTGTGATCGCTTTTTATCGACTTTGGTTTCTAGGGGTGTTGGTTGTTGATGACTACCACTTGGGAAGTCGCTTTCAGGTTTTGTACTTGTAATAGTTTTGTCCGATTGCTTGTCGAAAGGAGCAGGAGTCGGAGTCGGAGGAGGAGTTTTCTTCATCACAAATTGTGGTGCACTGACACTTTCTCTTGGCGATTCGCCTCTAAGTCCTGTGTTTCTTGGAGAACGGCTAGCGCTTTTGGGTACCTTTTCTTGCAATCCTATAGCTCGATCATCCAACCAAAATTCCAAACTAATGAGTCTAATCATTACAACAAAATTGATTTTATAGGATGTCAAATATGTTTAAATGTCCTAATAAATTGCTTTATAAGTGATAGGACATTTTTGAACGTCCTAACCGAGTTTTTTAATGCAATTTTAAAATAAAATGTCGTATTTGTCTTTTTATATGATATTAATTGAAAATTGTCTTATAAAAACAAGTCTTGTTTTATAAAAAGAGGTGTTCATGCGGCACTTCCTAAAATAGAGCAAAATACACAAAATAACAACTTACTTTCATAAATTTTCTTATTACAACATTGTATTTCCAGATTTCTTATTATGTCAATGTACCTTCAAATTATTTTTTGTTAAAACATTGTACTTCGAAAAAATTATCTATTATATCATTGTGTAACCTTTTGGTTTAAATTTATACATTATATCAGGTTTTTGTGTCACCTCACGATCCACGTAAACTGTCCACATGTATTATAGCTAACATAACATTTTTTATTATATCATTGTACTTTCAAAATTATTTTATTATAGCATCTATCAGTTTCTATTACAATATTGTGCTTTTAAATTTTAATATTTTATTATTTAGACATTTTACATATTATTTAATAAATATATTAAATGTATTAGAAAATTTCTAAATTATCTATTAATATACATTATATATTAATAAAACTAATAGAACACAGTTTATCTTGCTAACATTTTTAAAAAATATGTATTTTTTGAAAAAAGAAAATAATAATTGTTACTTTTTTTATCAAAAAAGAATATTGTCTTATAAATAATATATCATACTTATTTAAAAAAAAATTATTTGAATTATTTATTATGCTAAAAAATTTGTATATCATAATTTATCTCGTTAACATCTTAAAAAACTTTAAAAGACGTGTATTTTTTTGAACAAAATAAAATAAGAAGTGTTACTTTTTTTACAAAAAAAATAGTTAACTCAAAAATAATATATTATATTTATTTTAAAAAAAATATTTTACTCTAGAGCATTTAATTTACATGTAATTTAATAATAAAAAATAAAAAAATAAATTAAATGTTTTTTAAATCATAGCCATGAAAAATGAAAAACATTAAAAATAATTTAAAATAGGTTTTATTTATTTATTATTTTTATTTTAACCATGTCATCAAAATTGGTATGACATTCACGTCATCTCATTGGAACCAAACAATAAAATAAAAAGAGTAAAGGGCTAACCAATTTAAAAGGCAACAGGTTACCCATGCTATAACGGTAGATCTTTTCAAAGTACTCATGCCCTAATAAAAAAATAATTTGAAAGTACATTGTTGTAATAAGAAAAAGTAAAAGTAAAATGCTATAATAAGAAAATTTATGAAGATAAGTTGTTATTTCATGCATTAAAACCTTTAAAATATGTCATATAAAAAAAATCTAATACGAAACTTTATTTCAAAATTATCCTAAAAACTTGTTAGCATACCTAACTACGCCATAACATTCTACTCCTCTTGTAACACCTTTATGCAGAACGCATAACTGTTTATTAATCCTATAAAACAGTTCTTAATGACATTTAGACATTTTTGACGTCCCGATAATATCTGGGTTTTCAAAAATTTCTTTGATAATAAAAAAAACTCAAGATTTCTTGTATACCTGAGGGTTTCTTGGGGAAAAGAGTTGGGGTTGATATGGGTACTGTGTCATCTTCTTTGTTCTTCATTTTATTGCTTGCAGAAGAAGGCAGTTGGATTCTTCCTCTTGGCCTCACTGAAACCTGACCATCTTCTTGTTTCCTCTTGCCTTTCTTCAAACCATCATCTCGCCGTCGTCTCGTTCTTCTTCGTTGCTCTTCGGCTGAATTAATGGCGAACGCAGCTGCTGCAACTGCTGTTCGGAACTCATCACTCTCCATGTAATCCGAATCATCATCGTCGTACCTTGGTTCACGAGAAGACGACTGTCCTTTGTACCAGTTTTGACCTCTTCTGTTGTCTACGAAACAAAAACGATTGTTTTAAGACTTGAGTTTATAAGACCAAATAACATGCACCGTGCATATTCTATGTAAAGGTATAAAAAGGCTAATAAAACACTTTATTTATAAAATGTACTAAAAGAACTTGTTGGGACACTCAAAAGAGTCCTATCAACTTATTTTGTAACATGTTCACATAGGATACACAATTGTTTAATCTTATAAAGTAGTCTATATATTGAGACATTTAATGTTGGTGATTTGTATCACTAATATCATCTAAGTGTAATAAGATTAATTCGTTGATCAATGTTATCATGATAAATATTGAACAAGTAAGGATGGTGCGAAGTGCACACTTGTTTGAGATTATTTTGATTAAACGACGGGGGTCCGGGGGCAGCGCCCCTGGTGGCGGCGTCTGACCTGTCTTGGGTAATATTGTTTTGTGAAAAATGCTTCAAAAATCCGAATTTGAAATTTTAAACCCGGTTTTGACTCTGTTTTGAAAACCCGGTTTTTTAATTGCCGTATGGCAGTTTTCGACCGTTTGAGAGAAAAGCTACGATTTGGTCATTTGATTTTTCAGTACACAAACTTCATAACACGAAAACTCTCTGTTGGGGAAAACCACTGAATTTTATCCGATTGAAATTAATACTTCAATCTGAAAATGATACACGACTTTAAGTGGAATCCAAGCAATCAAAAACCAGAAATTATAACATTTAATAATATTCAGTATGGTATAAAACCGATTTTGTTGTAATGTAAAACAAAATTACCTCCTTTAAACGATCGAGTCTTTTGAGACGATAGTTTTCGGTCTCTAACGCGAGAAGTTTCTCCCACGTTTCCGTCCTCGACGCCAGAAAATTTCACCCTAATTAACACAAACCATTAGTTCCCACACACAACTAATTAACAAAAATCGATACCGAAAACCGAAAACCGAAAACCGAAAAACAATAAATTGTCACCTCATTTGCTTAATCAAATTTGCCATGATTGAATGGGTTTGTTGGTTGCTAAGAAATTGAAGTCATGAACTTGTGTTTATTTGAAGGATCCACACAACAATGAAGCAAGGTTTTTGCATGTAACCTTTGGATTTGGTTATTGAAAATGTGTTGGACAAGAATTCTTTTCTTGATGCTTTTGGAGTTCTTTATTAGTTCCTATCAAGGCATCTAGGGTTGGACTCCATTACCAAATAAGTGGATTTTTCGGTGTTTGGGATTGCTTATTTGGAATAACTTATTTTGTTTATAAAAGTATTTATTAATTTATTATAAGTTAGAAGGGTTTAACTTATTCAAAAACTCCTTATTACCGGTTTGTCACCGGTATAAGTTGTTTATCCAAACACTCAAAAGTGTTTATTACCGATGTCACCTCGAAATAAGTCAATAAGTTGTTTTTATAAGCAATCCCAAACACCCCCATGTAAACAAAAACTATATATTCTAAATTGGTTTCGTCTCAAAATAAGTGTCTATGTTTCTATTTTAGGTTGTTAAATAAGTGTCTATTATCAAAAGTAATTGTTTACTTTCTCATTCTACCCTTAATTTATAAGATGAAGAAATCTATAATTAAGGGTAAAGTTGTCATTTGGTAATTGTAGAATATAGTAATTAGACATTAATAAAAGTGGAGGACTTTCTTTTGATAATCCATGAAATTGTGATAAGCTTAAAAACTTGTGCATCGTGTGTTATTTCGTATGATTTTTTTTCCATCTAAGACTAAGATTTAAAATATATTTTTTCACTATCTGTTTTGCTTCACATGTACTTGGCTCTCAATGTGAACAGTTTTGGCATGTTTGTGAAACAAAAAATACACGTAAAAAAGTTTCGCATTGCAAATCGAATACATATGAAACATCAAAATTGTGAAACAAATATATGTTAATTAATACATAAAATACTATACTTGGAAGAAGAAAAGAATCATGTGAAATAAAACCTTATGATAAAAGTTCTCACGTATCTTATAAATTTTGGAGTTTTAAGATGATTAAACCCCTATAAAACTATATATCATTTTTATTATAAACATTTATTTTCGTACGGATGAAATAGTTACTTCAAAATATGTCAATATTGTATATATTTAATTCTTTAAAAGTATATATTAATAAAAGTTTTTTTTTTACCGATAGTTTTCACTTTTCACGAAAGCGGTTTTTTATTTTTATAACAGAAAACGTTTATATGTATTATACCTTCTCCTACTTTTAAACCAAAAATATTAGTTATGTTTGATTTCTTATTTTTGGGTTTTTTTATTAACTTGAATATCTAACATGCTATGCGAGCTAACTAATATTAGAACAATCACCCGCTTTACAGGTAGCTCGGAGTCATCGCATTTGCTTACCATACTATCAGTAAGTATTTATCGGTAAAATTTAACACTATCACTTGCTTACCGGGTAAGATTTTAGTCCACCAAAATGGGATTGTATGCAACAATCTACCCGGTAAGCGCTAACCGTGGTAAGAGTCGTCGTTATCACTTACCGGGTAAGACTCCTATGTCCTTGCCTTCGCTCTTACCGTGTAAGGTTCTTGGTTCTTGACATATTCATCCAGTAAGGTCATGTGACTTGGAAAGTGCTTACCCGAATAAGCGTTTGGTAAACGGCCCCTAAGACATTACAAAAAATAAATATTATAGTATTGAAGGATTGAGTTCCGATGATAATGAAAGTTATAGTGAGAAAAGGTAAGAAGGGATCTTCCCCTTTAGATCAATCCTAATTGAAATGAAACATTAGATCAACACTAATGATATATATATCGGATCTATTTCCTTTTAAAGCGCAATTCATGGGTTGGTTTGGGATTAAAAGTGATCAAAGGTCCAAATCCCTTCTACACTTCTCAGCTTAACTTTTATTCTCACATGATCCTATTCCTTCGTCTAGTACTGAACTACTTAAAGTAAAAGTAGTCTGGTTGGCCTAGACATGGCCTTTTGCCTTTGTCTGCTCCAAAAGTTTCTACTCATGAGATACTGCAAGTAGTCAGCTTATAAGCTCATTCAGTTCATGGTTTCATACATCAGATGTCTACATACCAAAACATTTTCTACTCGACTGAAGTGAACAGATGCTCACAGTTCAAATATATTTGTTGAAATAACAATTGAGGTCCCACGCATGCTCGGATGATATGGTTCCCCATTTTGTCACGTTGTTTTGGGTGGGAGCTATCCAGCTATCCAACTTACCGTTCAAATTTTTGTAGCTGACAAAAGTCTACTAGATGTCGATAAGAGAAAGTGTTAGGTTTAACACCTAGTGAGTAGGGTTGTAAATGAACCGAACGTTCAACGAACCGTTCGTGAACCGTTCAACGTGAAGTTCGTTTATGTTCGTTTATTTAATAAATGAACGAACATGAACAATTTTTTTTTGTTCGTATAGTTAAACGAACGAACATGAACAAGAGTCTTGTTCGTTCAATTATGTTCGTGAACGTTTGTTCATTTACCGTTCGTTTATATTCATTCGTTTATGCTCGTTTATATATTAAATTTAATATTTAATCTTTTGTTTATATACTTTGAATTCAAATAATATTTATTTATGTTCGTTTAGCACGTTCGTTTATATTCGTTCGTTTACGTTTGTTTAGCATGTTAACGAACGAACATACCTGATTTCTAAACAAACAAACACGAACACAAAGATTTTCGTTCGTTTACCGTTCATTTGTTGAGTTAAGTTAAACGAACAAACATTAACAAGCCTCCGTTCGTGTTCGTTCGGTTCGTTTACAGCCCTACTAGTGAGTTAACTCAGTTTAATCATATAAAACATAAAATGGTTAAAGAGAACATTTTCCTTTAAACAACGACCCATTATTTAAAACACAAATCATAAAAGGAATATCTTTCCAAAGCTCATAATTTCCAGATCATATACTTGTTTTAGATCCAAAACCAATATTCAAACTCATTTAAAACCTGTGCAAAGCGCATACTCCAACATCAAATATATGGATAAAACTCTATTATGCACAACATCAAAAGCATAGGTAAAAGAAGTATCCGTAAACAACACCTTTCAGTGGTGGGGGAGATCTAATTCCATCGAATGTGGCGGGAACACAAAAGTACTCTAGACCAAAAAAAACAAGATAGACTCATATATTTGCGGATCAAATGAATTAGAGTCTAAAATTACATGATTCCAATTGAATAACTAATGTTCTCAAAACATATAATATCCAACAAGTATGCAATAAATGCATTTTACGTCCAAAGCCCCATATTGAGCTGTATAAACCAGACAAATGTCCTCAAAACATATTTGAGTTAAAATCATGCCAATAGGTCACACAAAACATTTGCCAATATTAAAAAGTCAATGTAAACCACATAAGCCGAAAAGACATATGTTCCAAATATTTGTAACACACATAGCACCCACAACATGGGTAGGTCCATAAATCATCACTTTATTGAAGCATAAAGCAAGAGCCCCAAAATCGAATGGTTTGTATTTTCAAGATCCTCACGAAGCCAATAAGCATTTAACAAAAATTTGCACGATAAATCCCAAAACAATATTTTTCTGAAATCAAAATTGCTCTCAAATTGTCCAAACATTCAAGAAATCCCTTTTGATACCACAAATATCGTTTAGAGCATACCTTGAAGATTTATGTCTCAAAATAACCAGATAAAACCATTACGAACATTCAGTCAAGATTAGAACCTAAAACATACCCAAATGCACCAAAAACACAAAAGCTCATCAAATATGAAGTATACTCATGGGAATATACTGGAAAACCAGAATAGAGATATTCTGACATATATATAGTTTTGCAAAACAACTAGAATTCACAGGACTAGACAAAAATGGGTGAAGAATGGACAAACCCTAGACAAAAATGGGGTCTAAACCCCGTCAGAGGCTTCTACGGCCTAAGTCACAGGACTAGTCGCACGTGTAGAAAAACTCAAAATTTCATAACAGAAAGTTGCGCGACCTGGTCCGCGACTTTTAATTGGGCGGGACAAGTGGCTCAACTTTCTGTTAGCTCCCAGTACACCTCTTTCTCTACCAAAACTCACCTGCATTAGTTATTTTCATGGCACAATGCATTCCACTCATTAAAAGATCTTCAAAAACTCAAAAGAAGAACGTCAATCCCAAAATATTATATCCACAAAAATACAATTGTTATAAATTACCTTATATTTCATTTTTATAAATCATTATGAATAAACCCATAAAAAATAAAGAAATTTGGTATCATAAATGAACCAAAATAAGTGTTTATAAATCAAAATCACGATGAGTATGATTGATGTTTTGGACATATTTAATGGGTAGCATTAAATTTTACACCATTTTATTAAAAAAATGTGTAAAATTTGTTAAAAACAGGAAAGCATTGTTTGGAAAGATTAGGAACTATTCAGATTCAATTTTAAAAGTATTACATATTAACCACATAGGTGGTGTCTGATTGGTTTGAGCTTGACTTCAAAGGTCAAAAGTACTAGGAGGTTACATGTTCAAATCCAAGGAGAAATAAAAATCCATTTGTAGCCACGAAGGTTCAAATGCTATAACTTCGGCCTATCTCCAAAGCAGATGGTCGCCCTGGGATTAGTCGGCTCGAGTTGGATATCCAGGTTAATAAAAAAAAAGTATTACATATTATTCAAAATTGTTTAACCTAGACCTTGTTCCGTTCGAAAGGGTTATTCAACTTTGAGTTTGGGTTATTTCAAAACCTGTCACTCGTTTTTTCCATCCGGAAATCTTTAGAATTATCACTGCTTAGCTTTCAATTCTTGCAAATCATTCCTGTAGGAAATCCGGACCCTTTTTTCTGATCCTTCGATAACAGTAACAAGAATAAACATCTGTAAAGAACTATCTGATAACTACTACTCAGCATTGAAAAAAAAAGAGGGAAATTATGTTGACTGGATCTATGTCACGCTAGAAATAAAGAACAAGAAACTCATTAAAACCCTATCAAACACGAACATATTAAAATTGATTATTAATGTCAAATAAAAAAGGGGTCAATGAATCATAATAACACAAAATTGATTAAACTGAAGTTTATTCAGTTAAATTATAGGGTACTTATAGGTTGTTTAACAATTGTTGAATGATTTGGTGCAGAATGATTAAGTAACCAGAATGATTAAGAAGCTCTCATGATATAGTTCAAAATGAAATATAATTGTTTGCTAACTGTGTACAATGAAATTAGGGCGCTGAATGGTTAAGGGAAACATAAGATATAAAATCATTCAGATGGTTTTGGAACCATAAAGAGGCAGACTTTTTTTTTTGCCAAACAAGATTCACCTCTTAACGATTCAGAGTTTGTCTCTTAATGGAACTATTAAGAGGTAAACAAACAACCCCTTAGCTTAAATAAATGTCCACGATGAAAAAATTCACATATAATTATTACATTTTTTAATCAAATTAAATGATAATTTACCTTAAAAGTATGCCCTTTTTGAAAACGGACATTTATTTTCGGACAAACTAAAATAGAACTGCGGATGCTTATTTTCGGACGGAGGTAATAGTTAAAATATATCTGAAAACTGATTTAACCCACCGAATAACACCCTGGTTAAGTTAGGTGGTATCTGATGAATAATACTACTTGTTGCATCATATCGAACCGCCACCGACCCACCAGCTACTTCGAACCCATGGTTTCGAGTTCGGTAGGTCATGAGTCAGTTTCGAACCCCAGATGTGCCTTTGATTTGCAGAACCGTTTTGCACATCAAATTAAATCTCATTCCCCCATATTCTTATTCTTCCCACCAATGCTATACATTTAAAAGCAACAAAAAGAAGAGTCCTAACAGCAATTTGAAAACCGAACGAGAAAGAAGGAATCGGAAACCCAAATTCCAATTATCTGTATGTGCAACTCGCCAACAACGATGTCAAAAACGAAATCAAAAACCGATCGAGTGCCAAGAAAAATAATGTACAGAAAGAAGAATGGGAACCGAAACAAGTTACCTGAAATGGCAAGAAACAAGATCGCATACAGTCGAACATTTTTGTCTTACTGGATACTGTTGTTGCCATTTTTTGAACACCCGAAGATCTCTTCGATTATGCTGCATGTAGACTGAAGATCAAGACCATTGGTTGTTGGCGCCGAAGAGTACGGTGGGTCCCACGCCTTGGCATCAGATGTTTGAAAACCATATTCTGATCCCAAATGACCATTTTCACCCTCATCGGTTGTAACCTTGTTTTCATGCATATCGACAGATGATTTTAGATCAACTTTCTTGGAGGAGTTGGGGTGGAGAGGTTGGTTTTCAAAGGAAGTAAATGAGTCATCTGTAGGACCGATAACAAAATCACCTTCACCTTCTCCTTCTCCTTCTCCTTCGCCATCGTTGTTTTGATTGTTGTCAATGTCATCTTCAGAAGAAGAATCATCGTGTTCTCCGTGGCTAGCGAAAGATCCACCAAGAACAAAATCATGACCTTCGATTCCAACCGCAGATATCCCACCATAGTTTCCACGCCATTCATCATCATCGCTATCAATTTCCAACAATCTTGATCGATTTTGAACAGCCCGTCTATGAAGGATGAACACGTTGAAGTAATAGCTGACGAGTTCCTTCTTTGATCGAGAAGGGAAAGTCATCGAAAGTTGATTCCAGAACATTCTGCTGAGAGATGCAGGGTTCAAATAAACAACATCATGAAAGATTCGCTCTTCTGCTGCGGTCCACCTGCACGCAACTTCTTGGCCCATGTTAAGCATTCCTAGATCAACAAATTTTTCAACCCCAAGAGATTCTCTTAGTTTCAACCGCGATTCTTTGACATGTTGTCGCACGCATCTAATTGAACCACCATCCAAACACTCGCAACCTTTTCGGATATCCGAAGCTTCATCATCTTCAGTTAAATAATTGGAGTTGGAATTAGGCATTGGAATGACACTAACTCCCAAGAATCTTTCCATTCCACCATTGTTTTTGTTATAATTTCTAGCGAGCTCTGTGTCGAATTCAGGAATATCGGCCTGATGATCTGGTCCAACAGGAATCTCTTTCCGCGGATTATTCAACAATGATGGGTGCATATCATCATAATGAAAAAGTTGTCGCCTTGGAAAGTTGTATTCGAATAACTCAGAGAAAAGATTAGCACAGAACACAGGCCCAGATATAGAACCATTTTCACCAGTGCTGATTCCCGTCACCAATGGTAATGGTGCATTAGTATCGAACTCCTTGTCAACCATATCAGGGACAGTCACGACGTTTTCACTTTCTGGGTCATCATCTGTATTTCCGTACTTGCATCCACTTTCACCTGTCAAATGAAAGAGTCAGAACTGAGTCAGACTCTGAACAAAAAGCACATGTGTACTTTATATGAAGGCAAAACCTGATATGCCTTTTTCATATAATAAAAAGTGTCATGTTTCCAAATAGAAGCAATTATGTTTGATCCCTTCCGAAAGCTTATGCATGCCAACAGATGTAACCTACCTTGTCATAAAATGGATACGACAAAAGGTCCCCAATTCCTTTCTTATTCATTACATTTTGGATGCATGCTTTGTATGAAAGGAAATTCGATATCAATATTTCAATGATGCAATTACAGTATATGACTTGTAGAATTAGAAATCATATTTAAATATCATATCTGTTTGTTGGCAAATAATACGTAAAAAGCACCCTACACAGAGTAGCTATTATAGAGTAATACTAGATAAGCACATGAACACTTTGACAACTCAAATAGAGAGTGCAAAAAACAGAGCAGCAGGTCATAGGAATATACAAGATGTAATTTCATTAAACACTCTTCGCACCTGCAATCCCAACATCTTGAAATGTTTCGAGGGGAAATTTATTTTCTTCAAATGAAACCGGTTTATTGCCATGATCAAGATTTTTTGGGTGCTTAATCAACTCCTGCAGATCTTCATCAAAGGCCCGTTTGGTTCCCATCACAACCTGCGACAAATTCTAGAGGTAAACACAAAGTTGGTAGTGTTGTGTGATGGTGAGGGCAATAATGGCAGCTGCTATACAGATACGTACACAAACGCATATTAGTCAAGATCGGAAACCCTAAATTGGTATTTTTGAAACCTAAAGAAATACAAATAAACACATGATTATTGTGTTCCATCTAGGTGGTTGCTAAGAAAAGAATCAAACTCCTAAGAATGAGAAGTATTATACAAAAGAACACACAAAAATGAACAATAGATATAACAGAAAACATTAAAATGAAGAAACATCATAACAGCAGATTTTCCTATATCAACACAAAGCCGATCACCATTCGATCTTTAAGAGATAGAAAACTCATCCAATCTTCAATGAAACTTAGAACATCTGGCCGAAACAAAAAAATCATTATTCGCACAGCATGTTACCCTGAACCATATAAAAGGAAAGTGACAAACAGAAACTATGGAGTAGGAAAATTTGAAAAACAGATAATTTACCAACTAAGTTTCGTTAATATTACACATAAGTTACAAATACCTTTTTCCTATTAGGCATTCATCTAGAAAGATCCACAAMGCATTGATGATCAAAACATATTACAGCTAACAAAGATATTTAAAATCATTTTACCAAAGTTAACATACTATCATTTACTTATATATACATACATATTACAGACACATATACTTGTAGTATGAGCATCACATACACATTACAGACACATATAGTATGAGCATCCTCTACAATGCCACTGTAATATGAGTGATTACAGATCCACCGATACAGAAGTGGCTTGCCCACAAAGAAATAAGTTATTTTGATGTTCTAGGTTTTCCAATTCCAAATCCAATCCTCTAAACAAGGTCAATTCTAATAATAACAAAGAAGAGGTTTTATATCATACAGATAAGTAAAACAGAAAAGACTATGTATAAGATCTATAAACTAAACGTTGTTTAAACTCGGTGATTGCTTTCACAACTTCAAATGCCTAATTTAGTTGAAGAATCAACAAATAAATCATCTATTACATCAGTTTGCAAGCAATAATAGAATGTTCAAGTGCATGCAGGAGTGAAAAATACACAATTTTGCATCCATTAAAAAATCAATCTTAGTAGGGCACTAAACGTTCTCCAAATTTTTAGTCGAACTTCAAGAATTGGCAGAAATAAATTAGAAATTATGGTTTACATAAAAACTCTCCCTCCTTATATCTACAAACATCCTAAACCTGTCAATATTGGACTTAATTTCAGGATTAGGAAGGCTAATTTGAGCAATCATAATAACCCCCAATTTTTTTCTTGAAACCCTAACCCTAGATATTCATATATGTATAAATCAACAAAATTTCCATTGAATCAAATAATAATTCATAATTTATGACCATACTTACCAAAGCCCTCAATCAATTTAGAGAGAACGCGGATTTTCGCAGCACGAGCGCTTCAAACCCTAGAATAAATTAAGCCATACAATCTGTAATTTTCCAATAGATGAATATAGGGTTACGTGAAAGGATCAAAATTTGACCATGAGAATATAAAGATCGATGAAAAAAGGGTCTGAATCCGAAAATTGAACTACGAACCCTAACCCTAGAATTAGTTAAAATAAATGAAATTAAGCAAAATTTAGATAGATAGATAGAGGAAGAACAGAATAGAACGAATCAAAAAATCAATTTGATAATCGATTTACTAAAACATTGAGGAATCGAAGCTCGATCTGAGAGAGATTTCGAGGGATACGATGAAAAGAGGGGGGAGATGGATACGGTTCTTGTTTATTGTAAAAGACAGGAACGGTCCGGTACAGAGCCGGTTTGGCCAAATTAAGCCGGTTACACGTGTGCATGAGACTCTTTCTTAAATACTCTACTTTTTTACAAATAGGCCCTTAAACTTATCCCCTTTTTATATATATGGCTTTTATTAGTTAACGGTTGGTAAATTACATGTTTGGTCCCTATGGTTTGTAGAAAAGAATTACTACCATGAGTAAATTTTATTTATTACACTCTAAGTCTCGAGCATTGGTACTTCGTTATGGAGTACATGATGTTATTGTCATCTGAAACCACCGTTAGGGGTAGAGAGTCAGAGACAAATAGTGTAAACAAATTGAAATGACATGAGATTTGGTGTAATTTCAAAATAGCAGTGTGGTGGATTTTGGACAAACCACAAGGACGATTGATGTAATTATATTATGTTAAAATCATGGGGTTTGCCTCATAAGGTTGTCTTATTTTGGATGACCGTCATTGAAATCTATTATGTTACATTGTTTTTTAATATATACAGTAGATTATGGATTTGGTCCCTATAGTATGTTGATTGTTATGAAAATGGCCCTCAAACTTCATTTATTTACATAGCATGTCTTATGGTATGCACTTTTTGTTGGATCTGGTACCTGTAACAAAAGCGCGTCTATTTTCTTTGTTAATTTTGAGGGCATTTCTTTTTATCTTTTCCTCTATTTTAATATTATTTTTCGTATTTTCTAACATTTTGTCTTTGACATCACTTACGGATAATTGTTGGTGTCATTTCCCAGCAAGGACCCCTTCTTCCTCGACTCACCAGCCACTTCCAAGTTCCACCAACTACCCATCACTTTCGCAAACACCACTATCACCGTCCCAGGACAACTGTTCCACCCTTCCATTTCTCACCTCCACGCCCGTATCTTTCTCATTTACAACCTGCACCCACATCTCATTTTCCACTGTAATCATAGTATCTCACCCACCTCTTGTTCTTTATCTCGACCTTGCCTCTCTTCTGTGTGTATGGGGACAGGAAAGGGGGAGAGCCACAAAACCTTCATTATGTACAAGTGTCCTATATGTGTGTGTATGAGTGTGTAGGTGGGGGTTGTGAAGAAAATTGCAGGTAAACCTTGCAGATTGGGGTTGTTGTTCAAGTCGAGAAAGAAGGGATATATTTTTCAGTTAGTATGTGAGAAGATAGTGGGAAAGATAGATCATGGGTGGGGTGGTGGTCATAGTGGTTAGGAGTGAGCATGGTGGTGCAAAAAGAGGGGGATGTTTCACCGGTAATAGGACTAGCAACAGTGACCGGTGGCGAAAATTGGAGAAGAAGATGACAATGTTCGACTTTAGCCCTCCAAGTTTTAAAGTATACGACCCTCAAAGGTATTATTGTTTACATTTTGGCTGCTAACTTGAAAAGGTTGATTTAAAAAACATTAAAATAAAGAAATATGAGAGAAAGACCGTTTTTGCCCTTGAGTTTAACGGACCCAGTGGACGTCCATTTGGTGTAGGGACCAAATATGTGAAAGTTTGCTTACTACAAGGCATTTTATGTAATAAATGAAGTATGAGGACCATTTTCATTAAAATCCACATACAACAGGTTTCGTCCTTATGGTTTTAAATTTGTTTTGGATTTGGTCCTGAAAGTTTTTTATTCCAATATAGCCCCCAAATTTTGCATTGTTGTAACATTTTGGTCTTTTTGAAAACTTAGTGGATCATGTCCATTTGGTTGCATTTTCATAACTATTTGGGTCTCGGTCACTTATTTCTATTAAAAACACTATTAAGGTCCAGGGCATGTTCATCTTTTTATGTTTTTTTATCATGTTTTCCTTTAATATATTAATTACATTATATTTTATATAGAGTAAATTACATTTCCATCTACCCAAAACTTGCAGCTTCAGCAACATTTAACAAACCACATGCCAAAAATCAAGAACTTCAAAAAATGAACAATAAATTTATGTCTTACCTTTCAACTCTGGAAAACCTTAAATCATTAATAAACTTTAATCATATTCAATTTTCCCTTGAAGATCTACAAAATACAAATCCATAGCCTCAAGAATCTCCCAAATCGAATAAGAGATGAAGAAGTTATAGTCAAATGAAGAAAACCCCTAAAATTCATGATTTTAACTGTTAGGACCAAAATTGTCCTAATTAATATGAAAGCTTTATTAAAGCAATTTGGACCAATGATGGAAGATTCAGACATATGCACTGCTAAATCGACCAACTCCGGAAGAGCAACTAGAGCTCCTCTGGATGACCATAGCACCTATGGACACTAAGTCCTTAGAACCAGAGCCCCTCTGGATGAACTATGCTCTGGACGCTAAGTGTCAATACAACCATAGCCCCTCTGGTTGAACTATGCTCTAAAAGACTATCTTCAGATCTCTAGAATCAAAGACTTTAGTGCTCTAAGTGTCAAATATGAAGACGAAGTCTGAAGATGATTTAGTCCTAGAGGACTTAGTCATAAAGTTGCCTGGAACCGAGAGATCGGATACAGAGCTCAGACACAGAGAGCAGAAAGACCGAAGTCTTGCGCACAAATAGCCAAGTACTCGGATATAGAGCTCGATTCCCAGACACAGAGCTTTGCATAGTACATGTAGAGCCTCTGGGTCTCTTACTTAGCCCATGTGTGTGAAGGTTCCACAGCTCATCTTACAAGCGTTCCAGTCTTTGTCTGGCACGTATTTAAAAATGGTTATTGCAATCAGACACGTGGAGGCAGCAAATTGGTGGACTCGTTGATTTCGCAAAGATGCTATTTCGAGAATATGCCTTTTAAATGCCTATAAAGGGGTATTTCCTCTAAGGCAATCAAAAAAATTCACACAATTAAGAATTCACACGAGAGTCGATTAGGTCATTGAGAGAGTTTTGCTATTTCCATTTTCATTTAATTAAGAAAACAACAGGTTTTATCCATCATCTTCTACAACCCTTCGTCAATCACTGTTTATATCTTGATTTGATGTGGATCTGGGTCCAACAATAACCCTTAGGAGGATTATGTCGACCCTTGCCTCGTTACCCTAAGGTCGCATGGAAGGGTCTCTCGTGTTGGCCGATCCCTCAACAGGAGCTTATGACGGAGGGATTTAACGGTGGCACGTATCACCACGTGCCCTTAAATGGGTAATGCCCTTGGCTAAGCCGCCCGGCCATTTCCTAACCGATTTTTGACCGTTTTCACCGGTCATTCTTCGATCGTTTCCCAATCGTTCACCGACCGTTTTCCAAAATGTTCTTCAACCATTTTTTAGAAGATTACAGGTGTTACATAACCCAAGGAATAGAGAGATTGTTAGCATAAAGAGTCGTGACTTGAAATTCAAATTTTGAAGGAGCAAGAGTGCGAAAGATAGATGAGAAAAGAGAAAAATAGTCTGTGTAAACAAACATTAGGTACAGTAAATAGATAGGCATCAAATGATAGCCTAAAAAGTTTAAAAAATAAAAACAAATGTTGTTGCAAGTTTTGTTATCTGGAAATATTGAAACTTCTTGAACATCATCTTACCTCTTACGTCAAGGTGTAATAACTTCAAGAGTTGTATAACCAGTTACGTAAGATTATTGTTAACCATTTGCAATAGACAGGAGCTTGTATTATTTATCCTTCACAAAATTCATAAATAACTGTGACTTTAGAATCAATGTTTGTATTTGGTTGTCTAGAGACCGGATCCAGTAGCTTTTAAAACGAATCCAAACAAACTACAGGGTATTTACGAATAAAAACACCTTATTAGTTTTGTAGCAGGTTTCGACAGAGCACTAGAAACCAAGTTAGGTATCCTCTATATAGATCAACACACGAACACGTTTGGTCTCCACAAGATGTTAGCCCGAAACCCTAAATCCAGTATGTGTATAACGGAAAAGAAAAAGGGTTATGATAATCTCTAATACTAAAGATTAATTCATTAACCTTTTATCTGTAGGCTTATCCATCTGACCATATTACCTAAACATAAGTTTGGTTTGTGATTATCCTTAAACCGATTTATCTATAAGCCCATAAAAGGTTTTATTTTATTGATCATAATAAAATACGTAAAATACATTTTACATATAAAACCTTGTAATTATCATTGTTACACTTTTAACACACACTTTAGTTATTCTACTAGAATAACTATTTTAGCAGTCAACATGACATAATTTGGGTTCCTGATTATCCAATAACCATATTGAATTATACGTATTCTTTGTGTGCGACCTATAAGTTTATATACTCGTTGACGGTATTGATGTGCAACACGTTAACGTAGTATCAATTCTTTTGCTAATTTTTCAAGTTAGGGTTTCAATAACATCTATTGGACTCGTTATGATTACGTAAACGAGCGATTCCAAGAAAAATGCCTAGAAACCAACACTTCACATCAGAAGAGGAATTAGAATGAATGGTATGTCTATAAGCATCGAGTATGAATACTTTTTGAGATCTCTATCAATACGATCCATTTTTCATTAGAAAAAGTAAGGCCCAAAGAAGAGCCGACTAGTCGATATATTTAGGTATATAACTTTAATAAAATTTTAGGTTAAATCCATGACATTCTCATAAGCATGGAGCCATTTTTTCTTTAATATATGAGGTTATAGATTTAGTTAAAATCTTATTTAAGGTTATACACCTAAACTACCCCGAGTTGTTTTAACTTTCGTCGCATAACATATTGTCAGTGGAAATAAAAATATTATGCAAATAGCTTTTAAATAGAACGATCCTGAAATCATGTAATTAATGCACTTGGGCATGCATATATTACCAAGGGGGTGTTTGAGATTGCTTATAAAAATAACTTATTGACTTATTCTGATGTGGCACCGGTAATAAGCACTTTTGAGTATTTGGATAAACAACTTTTACCTGTGCCAAACCGGTAATAAGGAGTTTTTGAAGAAGTTAAACATTTTTTACTTATAATAAGTTGATAAGTGTTTTTTGTAGAAAAATATAAGTTGTTTCAAATAAGCAACCCCAAACACCCCCCAAATGGTAAATCATGAGAGGGTGATAATCATTTGGGAACTCGATTATTTGTGAAAACTGTAAGATTCAATTATATTCACTAATTTAATTATTTAATAGAACTATTAGAAATGATAAATAAGTAGCAGTATAGTAATTTAATAATTATTGAAAACGGTCAATATATACCCAAAAATAATTACAAAAAGTATGTTTTTTATAGGATTGATAAACAGCTCCTATATTTGTTCTTGACGTGTCTTCATTTTTTGAAAACGATTGATGACATCTCATTCTTAACATTATCATGTGCTTCCTTTTCTATGGCACAAATGATAGCCTTCAAAAAATCATCACCAATTCGATTACGTAGATCTGTCTTGACAAGCTTCATTGCCAAAAAAACATCTTTCAACCGTAGCAGTTGCAACGGACAAAACCAATGTTAGCTTCAATAATCGGTAAGACTAAAGAATGAGAAAGATGTTTTCTTGTTGCCACCATCAATCTAGCAAGGTCGGCAATGCCATTAAATTGGCAATTATGACATCATTATAAACAAAATGGCTAAAGAATGGTCTTTTCCTTGTCATCAAAATCATGTGGATACATCTGACTCAACTTCAATAGGCTTGACTTGTTAAACTCATAAAATGAATTGCATGGATTCAAAGCTGCCATATTTTGAAGCAAGTCGGTGCTTATCTAAAAAAACGATCATCAAACTCTCGAATCTGCATATGTAAAACAGTGTTGAATATAGCATGATTATAATAATGTCGAATGCTAATGTTCATCATTTCCCTTGAATTTCTTGTATTAACATAACCTTCCGTCATATCCAACTTGACAATCTTATATTTATCATAAAAAATAGCATTTTTCCGAAACTTGATCAAACCCATTTTCTCTTAACATTTGCAATTGTCCTTTGGTTGTTCTTATCAAATCAACCGCTTCCAAGATGTCTTGATATTTCCTTTGAAGAGCTTGAGACAATGAATTTGTTAACCCTAAAATGGTTAATATTAAGTGCATATAAAACACAAATTCAAAATGTCATAAAGTATGATAAAAAGACCATGTGCTTGAAGCCGAGTAGCTCCATTATTATTATTATCTTCGACATATTCAAGCACCTTTATAACATCTAAAAACAAAACAATCAAACTCATAATTGTTTTAAAATGAGAATTCCATCGTGAACCTTGAAATCACCGAGTTTCCCTCCTTGAAATCGTTCTTGGTCGGCTGGTCTCCTGGTCGCACTCGGTAATCAGTATCCCTCCTGTTTCCATATTCCGATTTCTGATTTGGGTAATTGGGTTTAATTTTGGGTAAGGCCTAAAGGTCGTATGGTAAGGCAGTAAGCAGGTAAGGCCTAAGGGGAAGGGAAATGTAATTGGATTTCTGATTTGGGTTTAATTTGTCTATTTGGGTTTGATATGAAATTGGGCTTTCACATTGTTCGGCTTATTTAATACTTTCGGGGGTTATTACCAAATTTTCTATTAAGTACTGTATGGATAAATTTGTCTGTCTGGATAAATTTGTCTGTCTAGATAAATTTATGTTGCTGTTTACTTTTCTATCTGAATCAACAGTCTGAATCAATAGTCTGAATAACATAAATGACCAATTTACCCCTGAGGATGAACTACAAAATAGAGCAGCTACGGTAGCAGCAAACACAAAAAAATTAACAGGAAATGAGACACCATACTGCAGCTACGGTAGCATAAGGAATGAGACACCAGCAAACAACAACAAGCATGAAATACATAAGCAAACACAGCAGGTACGGTAGTAGCAGCTATGGTAGCAGCAAACACAAGCAAACACACGCTACCAGCAACCGATTTGGGTTCTTTAAAGGAGAAGTATAGTAGTTACCTTTGGAGAAGAAGAGGGTGTCGATCGATGGAGAAGAGAGCAATCAACCGATTAGGGTTCTTTAGAGGAGAAGAGGGCCATCGATGGAGAAGAGATCGTTGATTAGGGTTCTTTGGATCGATTAGGGGCTGTTTAAGCATCCGATGGAGAAGAGACTGTCAATCTAGGGTGTTTGTTTGAGAGAGGCACGAGTATAATGTAAGGCCATTAGGGTAGGGATAGTCTTTTGACTTGGTTTAACCTGGACAAGTCAAGTTTTTCATCTGGACGAATAAGCTCATTTCTGAGCGAATAAGCCCGAGGTAAACATCCTATTTTGTCCGTCCGAATAAGCCAGTTTATCCACTAAGCTCATTAAAACAGGCCCGAAGTTGGGTTAGGCTTATTAAAAGTCTAATTTCTTTTTTCAACTTTCAGTTACACCCTTTAAGTTATAAAAACAACACAATAGCACCTTTTAAAACAATATGATTACACTTTTCACAAATCAAATTTTTTTTACCCTTTAATGGTGAAATAATACAATATCACTTGCCACCTATACCAACTACATAGTTACGTCCATAGGTGTACCATAGGTGTACCGGTGTTTAAGATGGAGAAGATATGGAGTTAGAGAGATTGTAGTTGCCACCATTTTCGTTGCCATATGTTGTTTGAAATATAAATGACCCTATATTTGTAGACAGAAAATTGAAATCGTACATACTTTATCACTTTTAATAATGTTTGAACTCAAGAAAAACTAGGTTATTAGGTACCTAGATCAATGGCCATTTATATATCATGAAATAGTTGTAGTCATCTCAAAACCTTGGCAAATTATATCAAAATGAAACGATTTTTTTTATTAACCTAGATATCCAACCCGCTATATGAGCCGACTAATTCCAGGACGACCACCTGCTTTGCAGATAACTCGGAGTCACCGCATTTGAACCTCCGTTGCCACAAGGAGATTTTTATTTCTCCTTGAATTTAAACCTGAGACCTCTTGTTACTTTTGACCTTTAGAGACAAACTCAAACCAATTAGGCACCACCCTTGTGGTTGAAATCAACTTTATATATGTTTCTATTTTGTGAATCTACTTTCAAAAACGGATTTTGGTGTATATAACAAGACATCTCAAATAAAAAAAGATTTAGTAATTTTTTATTTACAAAATTATAATACGTTGTTCACAAATTTAAAATATATTTATCTAATTATATCAAAAATATAATGTGTTTTCTTAATTATATAAGAAAAACCCCACATGATTCCTTAATTATGCCTTAGGTATAGTAGGAATGTAGGATCCTCAAAGTGGATTTCAGAGCAAACAAATTGTTACCAGCAATTTCTTTACTTCTAAAGGTTTTATTACTTAAACTACAACTATATCAAAACCATAGCTAATAATCCTTATGAAGAACACAAAAGGAAAAAGATAGGCAATAATGAAACACTAAATAAAGTCTGAGAAGTTGAAGCTAACCATTGATACCATCATATCTTCAAGCAATGGCAGGCATGTCCTTTAGCCATGGGTCCAACGGCTTGCCGATTGAGTACACAATGAACCCGATCTGCCTTAGCTTCGCCACGTCTACTACGTTCCTACCATCAAATATGTACGCCGGTTTTGGCATGTTGTCGTATATCTTCTGGTAATCAAGACTTTTGAACTCATCCCACTCGGTAAGGATACAAATGGCATGGGAATCCTTGGTAGCTTCGTATGCATTGTGAACAACTTTCACGTTTTTCGTGATCACATCTTCGGATACTGGGGACGTTGAACCCGGCTGGTCCCAGTCAAATTTTGGTGTCGAAAGATCCCTCATCATTTGTGCTTCGGGAACCTTAGGATCGTAGATGATTAACTGAGCTCTATCCAATAACAACCCTCTACACACATCAATAGCTGGGGTTTCTCTTGTATCCCCAGTGTCTTTCTTGAAAGAGAATCCTAAAATGGCAATCTTCTTTCCGGATATCGTGTTAAACATGGAGGAAACAAGTCGGTTGACAAATCGGTTTTTTTGGTAGTCGTTGATCTTTATAACATGTTTCCAGTAATTTGCTACCTCAGGAAGGCCATTGCACTCACAAATGTACACCAAATTCAAGATGTCTTTCTGAAAGCAAGACCCGCCGAAACCCACACTAGCATTGAGAAACTTTGGGCCGATTCTCGAGTCTTTACCAACAGCATAAGAGACTTGGGAAACATTCGCACCCGTGGCCTCACATAGTGCTGACATTGAGTTAACTGAAGAGATCCTTTGTGCCAAGAAAGCATTAGCTGCAAGCTTGGACAGCTCAGCGGACCAAAGATTAGTACATAAAATTCGTTCTTCCGGGACCCAGTGAGCGTAAACATCTTTGAGCGTTTGAATGGCCTTCAAGCCTCCTGGAGTTTCTTCTCTGCCTCCAATAAGGACACGATCAGGATTCAAAAGATCGGTGATGGCAGTACCTTCAGCAAGAAACTCTGGGTTTGAAAGGATTTGAAATTCAATGCCCTTATTGTTGTGGGTCAGAATCTTTTCTATCGCTTCTGCTGTTTTCACGGGAACAGTTGACTTTTCAACTACAATTTTTGAAGACTTGGAGACATCAGCGATCATACGTGCAGCACTCTCCCAGTATGTTAGGTCAGCAGCTTTTCCAGCGCCAAGTCCTGAAGTTTTAGTTGGAGTGTTAACAGAAACAAAAACTATATCCGCCTCTGCAACATTCTTTTCCACTTCATTACTGAAGAAAAGATTTTTCCCCCTGCATTTCTTCACCACTTCGTCCAAACCAGGCTCATAAATAGGGAGTGTTTCACTGTTCCACGCTGTGATTCTAGGCACAGAGATATCGACAACAGCCACGTTAATTGATGGGCACTTCAATGCAATCACGGCCATAGTAGGGCCCCCGACGTAGCCAGCTCCAATACAACAGATTTTCACCATTGTTGTTAGTTGTTCCTTAGCCCCTAAAACCAATACCAAAATACATTACTTTTACTTCAAATATTGCTAAAAATATAACTAATAGTTACCAATTTACTGAGACATCCAGATAGAATGCAATTTTCATGGATCGATAGACTACTCGTCAAAGAATCTATTAATCAAACAGATGAGGGCATGAGGCGATTAATTTATCACAAGTATAGTGAAACGGATCGACATGACTACGTAACCAAATTCACATATTTCATTACAGAAAAGCTAAAACCAAAGTGAAAATTCACAATACGTGTAGGAAGCCAATATCGCCATTAATTGGATCACATAATCCAGATCTAGCCTTCCTTCACATAAATTATTCCAAAGACGCCAACAGAACAAACACGCAAATACGAACAAAATCAACGAATTTTTTACCAGGAGAAGAAGAAAGTGATTGCAGAAAACATCAAATCGGTGGCGTAATTAATACTGAAATCCAACTAACATTTATAAAATCAAAACTAAGAGTTAAAGTGGAGTAACAATTCACCTTGTTCGTGATAAGAGAGAAAGTAGCAGGTGGAGAGAATAGATCCAAACGGAATGGAGAAGAGGAAACAAGGTGGTAGAGAGGTTATTATGGCTAAATTTGAGGAGATCAGTCTCTCAGGAGTGACAGCGAGAGCCTGAGAAACAGTAGGGAAAACGGTTATGGATTTCGTTTCTGTTGCATCCTTTTTTTTCATAAAAAAAAAAAAAAAAAACATTAAACAATTCATGTCGGTGATTTGAAATTTATTGTTGTTTTCTCTTATTATTTAATCTTTTATTTCGTTTTTATTTAGATGGTTTATAACTTATTGTTATTTTAGTCTTTAATCTATATTATATTATAAAATATTTAACAAAAAATTTTAAAAACTATTTTTTATGCATAAAATACTGTTTATTGATGCATATTACTTAAAATTCAACATCACAAGTAAATTGTGCGTAAGTACAATTTATTAAAACTTCATTTTTGAATTTAATCAAATACAAGATAGACATCTCATTTTGAATATAAAAAATTTAAAATATAATTAGGATAATCATTAGTTATAATAAAATACTTAATTATTATTATTATAAAAATTATCTATACTATATTATAAAGCATTTGACAAAAACTCTTAAAAACCACTTTTTATGTGTAATGTACTGTTTATTAATTCATATTACTTAAAACTCAAGATTACAAATAGAATGTGCATAAGTACAASTTATTAAAGCTCCATATCTGAATTCGTGTAACTAACTGCAGATAAATATAATCAAATACAGGATAAACATCTTAATTTAAATATAAAAAAATCTAAAATATAATTAAGATAATCATTGAGTTCTAACAGAATACTTAATTATTATCTTTATAAAATGTTATAATTATTAAACCAAAAATATATTATTTCATTATTAAACTTAAATTAAATTATAATAAAAAATAAATTACATAAAAATGAGAACTTCTAAATAGTTGATTTGATATTAACATTGATATATTTTTCTTCAGATTTTTATGATATCTTCAAATTTATAATTTATACAAAAATAAAATCATTAATGTTTTCTTAAAAACACATAAAATCGTATTATAACATCGACAGAGACAAATAATAAAATAGAAAATTAAAATCAAGATGTGTCTCGCTGCATTGTGCGAGTACTCTTCTAGTATTATTAAACATATATAAATCACTTCGTTATTAAAACTAAATTAAATTATAAATATAATATTGAATTAAAGGAATTAAAAAAAACCAAAACTTTAATTAGTAAATTTAATAATAATATCGATATATATTTTTTTCCATATTCTTATAATATATTTAAATTTATATTTTATTCAAAAATAAAAACATTATCGTTTTCTCAAAACCACTAAAAATTGTATCATATCGACACAGATATATAATAAAATGAAACATTAAGATTGAGATATATTTCGCTATATTATGCGAGCACCCTTCTAATACTTAAAAGTTATAATTAGCTTATGGGACGGAAGTATAAATAAACTACAAATTATAGGGATAAAAACATAATTTGAAAACTATAGGGACAAAATTTGCAATTTTTAACAAACCGCAATTTATTATAAGTTGTCATGTCACATCCTGTTTAATTCCATCATGTTTGATCCACATGTCAAACACAGCTTAATTGAACATCTCAAATGGAGACATTAAATATCAAACCTGACACTAGATCACACCGATTAAGACATCAATTCAGAAAGAAAAAAAAAACCCTTCAAACAAGTTGAAGTCGTATATAGATTTATGATCGTGAAACCTTGATCAACAAAAGCAACCATTGTTACAACTTCATCCTACAGTCGTGTGATGAAGTACCTCAATGGATATTGTGAATTCTCGAAAGAGTTGATAAGGCAAAGAATGCAAAGATCATCAAAGGTGAGATGAGGTAAGGCTTTGTCAGAAATTGAAAGAGACGTTATTGATGGTCGTTGAAACGTAGGAGTGGTATCTATGAAATCGTTCATTTGTGGTTGTAGCAATGCAAAGATGTCGAAAGAAATATCTAACAGGTCGTTTACCAAACACTTACTAGGTAAGTGCTTGTCGAATGTCGTTTGTCTTACCAGATGGGCATGGTAAGGTCCGAGAATCTTCCGGTAACCGAATGTCGTTTGGTTTCATATTGTTCGTACAAAACATGAATGCTTACATAGTTATATATATTTCGATACAATTTGCTATTTATCGTGTTTAATAAACAATTAAATTAAACTAGAATGATACCCGTGCAATGCAGTGAGATACATCTTAATTTTAATATTTCATTTTATTTTTTATCTCAGTTGATGTTATAATATGGTCTTATTTGATTTTTAAAAAGCGATGATATTTTTATTTTTTAATAAAATATAAATTTGAAGATATCATAAAAATTTGACAAAAATATATCGATATTAGTATCAAATTAACTATTTAAATTCATCATTTTTTGTGTAATTTTTAATTCAATTTTTTTATTATAATTTAATTTATGTTCAATAACGAAATAATTTATATTTGGTTTAATAATATAATTTGCGTATAAAGATAATAATTAGTTATTTTGTTAGAACTCGATAATTATCCTAATTATATTTTAGATTTTTTATATTTTAAAGTGAGATGTTTATTCTCTAGTTGATTATGTTAATCCACAGTTAGTTACACAAATTCAAACATGGAGCTTTAATAAATTGTACTTGTGCATAATTTACTTGTAATCTTGAATTTTAAGTAATATGCATAAATATACAACACTTTATGCATAAAAAATAGCTTTTAAGAGTTTTTATCAAATATTTTATAATAGAGTATAGATTAGTAAATAGATAGAAAAACCTCACACAAGATTTATAAGAAAACAAATTGCATACAAAATTTATGTACTTCCAATCCATTTTTAAATTCGAAAATATATTGTCAAAATCAACGTTTTGGGGCAAAACACACAATTTAATAACCAAATTGATCGATAGAGATACATCATACATGAATCAGATCGAAGCCCAATACTACACCGAGACTAACCCGAGATTATTAAGCCTGGATGGATTATTGCAAGGACCAAATCAGTGCTACATTTTAGCATCGTCCTACATTTGTAGCTCAGGGACCGGTTCAAAGAAGCCATATTAAGGGCGTATACTGGGTTCGAATAGGATTAATCAAATGTCTGATCAAATTGCCCGTTATGTGTCAAAGGGATGATCGAGTTGGATATCAGGGCTTGAAAAACAATCAAAAGGGAAAACCAACTAGTTTTTAGACCTTTTTTTTTTTTTTTTGTCTTTCTATCCATTTTGAGTTTCAAAAACGCACTTTTGCTTTTTGAATGTAACCACGAGTTTAAATTATTTTGATTTGGTATCAAACAAAAACAAGGCAAATTAATTGTTTGAATACAGAGACTCTCAACAAATGCTCAACTACAATATAAATAAAATGTGTAAAATGATGGTTCTAGAAACATTTTGACAACGGTTTAAAATGTGGTTCATCCAAACTTGACTACGCTCACGTCAAGACACCTCTCAAGATCGATCCACGTATAAAGAAAGAACAAAAGGGCATTTCTCAAATTTCGGTAGGGGTATATAATTGACCACTCACATAGTTTGAGTATTTCGTTTCAGTTCCTATTTTGAGTAAGATACTTTATAACCTTTTTTCATGTAATAACCTTTAAAACACCCACTTTTAGCTATCAACTACAAGCAAACTTTACATGCAATTTAGGATTTCAAAGACCTAATAACTTACAAAAAACAATGTGGCTTCAGTAATTATAACAGTTGATATAATATTTTAGAATAAAAGGAAACTAACTACATTTGTTGTCGCCACACCACTCCCCATCTCGTTCCTTGGTTATACCTGACGTCCAAATCAACTACCTGTTATCTTCAAAGTTCAAATACCCAAATGGGTTTTCTGTTATCTCCAACATTCGTCACAGAAAAATGAACGTTATTTGTCATCACCTATACCTGCCTCGAAAAATATTGTATTTTTGGAATTGACGAAATATTGTACTAAAACTATGGAATGTTCCCTTCTTTTATCTTTAAAGATGCAATTTCAAAGTTTATTTATTTATCTGTCATTAATTATGACAAAATCTATATACTATATTATGAAGCATTTGACAAAAACTCTTAAAAACTATTTTTTATACATAAAGTACTATTTATTGATGCATATTACTTAAAATTCAAGGTTGTAAATAAATTGTGCATAAGTACAACTTATTAAAGTTTCATGTTTGAATTCATATAACTAACTGTAGATAAACATAGTCGTGAGGATAAACATCTCATTTTAAATATAAAAAAATTTAAAATATAATCAGAATAATCATTGAATTTTAACAAAATACTTAATTATTATCTTTATAAAAAAAATACAAAAAATAATAAAATGAATTAAAAAAATACATAAAAAAGAAGTTTTAAATAGTTAGTTTAGTACTAATATCAATATTTTTTTCAATTCTTTATGATATCTTCATATTTATATCTTGTTCAAAAATAAAAACCTTATCACTTTCTCAAAACCATATAAAATCGTATTATAACATCGACTGAGACAAAAAAAAAACAAAACATTAAAATCGAGATGTATCTCGCTGCATTGTGCGGATATTTTTCTAGTATTGATAGAAACTGATTTTGTCTGAATTTTTTTTATAGGGAAAATTGCACCAAAATGGAACCAACTTTCACATGATTCATATTTTGGGGAACGAACTTTCAAAATCGTCATTTTGGGGAACCAACTTTCACCTGATTCCTATTTTGGGGAACCAACTTTCAAAATCGTTATTTTGGGGAACCAACTTGGACCTGATTCCTATTTTGGGGAACCAACTTTCAAAATCGTTATTTTGGGGAACCAACTTGCACCTAATTCCTATTTTGGGGAACCAACTTGAAAAATAATTATAGAAAAATGGGAAAATTACACCAAAAATGGAACCAACTTTCATCTGATTCCTATTTTGGGGAACCAACTTTTAAAATCGTCATTTAGGGGTCTCTATCGAACTTTTTGTTTATTTAAGGGTCTGATTGATCTGTTGAACAAGTAACAGATAATTTAAGGGTCTATCAAACTTTTGGTTGGATTTGCCAAATTTGATTTAAACTTTAATATTGACACAGATTTATTAGATATAAAAATCTTGAATGTGATATTTAATATTTATGTTTTATTGCATCAATTAATTTTTTTTCTATTAAATAGATTTTTTTATTGCATTAGTAAAAAATAATTTTTATCGTTGTAATTTGGATTTTTTTTCGAAAAATCTTCAATTTGATATCTGAATTTAAAAAAACGAGATTTGAAATGAAAAATAGATTTTATTGCATTAATTTTTGAAAAGAAATGAATTTTAGTTATTTTTCCATAATTATTTTGCAAATTGGTTTCCCAAAATAGGAATTAGATGCAAGTTGGTTCCCCAAAATGACGATTTTGAAAGTTGGTTCCCCAAAATAAGAATCAGGTCCAAGTTGGTTCCTCAAAATAAGAATCAGGTCCAAGTTGGTTCCCCAAAATGACGATTTTGAAAGTTGGTTCCCCAAAATAGGAATCAGGTCCAAGTTGGTTCCCCAAAATGACGATTTTGAAAGTTGGTTCCTCAAAATTGGAATCAGGTGAAAGTTGGTTCCCAAAATAACGATTTTGAAAGTTGATTCCCCAAAATAAAAATCAGGTGAAAGTTGGTTTCATTTTGGTGCAATTTTCCCTTTTTTATATTAACAAGTAGCTTTCATGGTATGAAACTCATTCATTTCTAATTTTTCTCATCACTATAAGAACTTATGATGCCGTTTTTCTCATAGTTTAACAAGAAATTTATCTATAAATTAATAAAATAGTAATTATTATATAAATTAATATTTTTTTATGGCTCAAGTATGGTTGTAAATGAACACGAATGTATGTGTATCTGTAAACGGACACGAACATTAAACGAGCGACATTTTCTTTGTGTTCATGTTTTTTCGTTAAGAAAATATGTTTGTTCATGTTCATTCGTTAAGATGATAAACGGATAGAAATAAGCAAAAAGCAACCATCATTACTCACATTTCGTTTCTTTAAGATAACATAACGGAATGTAAAATCATATAAATTTGGAGGGAAAAGGAATTTTTAAAACTTAATTTAATCGATGAGTTTATATATTAATTTCGTAATATATAAACAAACGTCAATAAACATAGAAGAACGTAAACGGACATGTATAAATGAACGGTCACGAACTTAAATGAAACCATCGTTCATATTCGCTTATTTAACTAAACAAACAAAAAATATGTTTATAATGTTTACTATCGATATCCCAAGAACATTTTATAAAGTTTCGAGTTGGAATTAACGGAGTATTAGGTGACATTTGTTTTTTAAGAGATGCTGAAGTCTGATTTCATTTATGATTTATAAGAGGTGGTCATGAAGTCTGAAATCTGGATCGGTAAAATTGTTTGGTTTTACGTCTAAAATCTGAAATTTGAATCAGTCAAACTAGTGCAAAAATATAAAAGATAAATAGTTTTTTCCAGAAGTATAAAAGATAAATAGTTTTTGCTAACAATTTTTTTCCCGGCCCCCAAAATAAGAACCATTTGGTAGAGGGCATATTAGGATTAAGAGGTATTAAGGGATATGTTTACCACTTAAATTTCAGAGGACATTTAGAGCTTTTAATATCTTATTTTATAAATAAAACAAACACTCTTAATATCCAAACGTCTGAACGAATTAGATTTCAGAGGTATCAAAAGGTAATTTTGAAAAAACAAACAGGCCCATAGATTGTTTGTTTTTTCAAAATTACCTCTTGGCACTTCTAAAGTCTGATTCATTCAGACGTTTGGATATTAAGAGCGTTTGTTTTATTTTTAAAATAAGAGCTTAAAAGCTCTAAATGTTCTCCGAAATTTTAAGTGGTAAATGTATCCCTTGATACCTCTTAATCATAATCCGTTCTCTATCAAATGATTCATATTTTGGGGGCTGAAAAAGATTTGTTAACAATAAATTATTTATCTTTTATATTTTTGTAAAAAACTATTTATCTTTTATATTTTTACACTAGTTTGAGCGATTCAAATTTTAGATGTAAATACAAACAATTTTACTGATCCAAATTTCATACCTTAAAAACATCTCTTATAAATCAAAAATGAAATCAAAATTCAGCACCTCTTTAAAAAAAAAAAAAAAAAAAAAAACCACCAATGTTTTTATTGGGGCTTAAAATTCAATTTGTAAGAGATGAAAGGCCAAAATGGAAAATTTAGTTGGAAGTGTTCGTTAAAAGGCTTTGGAATCAAAGGTAGGTCTGTTTACGCCATCTTTTCCCGTAGCCCATGGACTCGCACACTCTTACACACAGTAGCTCATCTATGCATTTTCTCTGAGGTAACGGATTCTTTGATTTCATCTTCAATGGCTTGTTGTAGCATTTATTGTTTTTAGGGTTTTGGATTTCATCTAGGAATTTGTTTGTCCTTGAATGAAGTATTAGGGTTTATGTATTTTGAATTAAGCTAGTTCTTTTTTGGCTCAAGTCGTAAACAAATGGGGGTGTTTTTATCGATTTGATGTATATATAGTTATATATGGCTGTGAACTTACATGCTTCAAGGATCTAAGTTCAGTAGATATACTACATGACATGTATGGACTGTCATAGAAGCACTTTTTGAGTAATACCTGTTGGATCTAGGGATTTGATGATAATAATGAGAAGAAATATTTCAGAGAAAGAGAGTAGAATCGATTTTGTGTTGAAGTAAATTAGAAGAAAAACATTATATAGTTGTAGTTAAGAAAGGTTATAAAATAATTGGATCATTTGTGTGGGACAAATTTGAACATCAAAAAACTCATTTGTCTGGATTGAGGGGATAGATTGTAAGCTATTGCTCATGCTAGTTGTAGTTGAAGGCTGTGTCTCTGATCTACATGTAAGTTTGTGACAGTTTGCAATCTTTTGATGTGTGGAGTATATTCATATTCTTTCTTCTGATGAATTTATGTAAGAGGATTTTGGTATAGAAGTTTTCAGAAGAAGCAATCTGACTGCAAATTAATATTTATGACATGTAACACTTTATAAAATATGGATATTGTATCAATCAAACTTGTCTGAGTAGTGAGTAGAATCAAGAAATCACATATCTTCAGGTATTTTATGAGAATGCTGGTTTGGAATCAGATATGCAAGTAATTTACAGGACAATTTTTTTTGCTTTTCTAGAGTCCATTTTTGTAAAATATATGTATTATTTTAGCCATGTCTTACATTCTCCTACCAGTTACAGAGCTATATTTAGACCAGTGTTTGATTCCCGCTGGTTTGTTTGGGCCTGTCTTTTTATACTTTGACTTGAAGCCACATTAGTCAACATTAGTACGACATACAATTTCCCCTGAAAGAGAAGAACAGCTGCAAATGAATGATAAATACTTACCATAGTAGTTGCTTAGTTTTTGTGTGGTTGGTTTCCTTTCAACTTTGCCCGCTTTTAAATCAACCATCATAGATGAAAAGATACATCCTAATGATTCCCACTACAGCTCGTTGTTAGATTACAGAGCATACTAAGCAATGATATAGATAAAGACTTCCATGCTAAGAATTATTATCTTTCTCTTAGCGGAATTCAAGTACTGATAGATCTGCAATTCAAATGTAGTAGATCTTGACTCATCTGGTATGAAATTTACCTCATGTCAAGAAATTTTAGGAGCTGTTGACTTTCAAACCATTGTACTTTGGGTTTTCTTGCAAACCACCATTGTTGTGCAAATGCCAAAAACAAGACCATGCAAGAAGTACTTTGCTTTTGGAGTTATTGATTTTTCAAACCATTGTACATGGCTTCTAGTTGCAAACAATCATTGTTCTTGGGGAAATGCGAAATGAAAGCCACATTTTGCATGAATGAGCTATTTTGGACAAGAAATTGCAAGATAAAGTTTTAATTTTTAATTTTTGCTTTTATGCCTTAACGTAATTTGACAAAGATCACTTCTTGTTGCAAACTACAATGTTTCTTTGGCATTTTCACTATAACAGTAGATAGTTTGCAACGAAAGGCAAGTATGGTGGAAGTTTTGGAATACTGTTGGTTAGTTTGTAACAAAAACCCAAATACAATGGTTGAAGAAGTCGACAAATCAAAATTTTGCTCAAGTTTTTTGTGTATTCTCTTAGGTGGCTCATATCAAAGCCTTATGTTTCTCAAATATGACATGTTCTTCATAAACAGGATTCTCATTTGATTATTTGCACTTACAAGCAGTCAAGAAAAGGAAAGTTTGCGTCTTCAATTGAAGCAAATTACTTTGAATGGCTTTGGTTGTAATTTGTGGGCAACCATGCAGTGGGAAGTCAAAGGCTGCTCTTTGCCTGGCTGAAGCTCTGAAAGACATAGAATCTAAACCTACTGTCAGAATCATCGACGAGACTTCCTTTCATCTTGATCGTAACCAAAGCTATGCAGAAATGACCTCAGAAAAGAACTTAAGGGGAGTGCTTAGATCCGAAGTCGATAGATCCTTATCGAAAGATAACATTATCATAGTGGATTCCTTAAATAGCATAAAGGGTTATAGATATGAGTTATGGTGCCTTGCACGTGCTGCAGGAACTAGGCATTGTGTTCTCTTCTGTGATGTTGAAGAAACCCACTGTCGGGACTGGAATAATGAACGTCGGGAGAAGGATGAACCTTCGTACAATGATCGCATATTTGAAGATTTAGTAAGAAGGTTTGAAAGACCAGATAGAAGGAACCGTTGGGATTCACCCTTATTTGAGTTATGGCCATTTAAAGATGGAATAGAGAAATCTTCTCCTGCCATTTTAGATCTCGTATCTTACTTAACCAAAAAAGTGGACTCAAAAACCAAAGATATTAAAATCTTGCAACCAACAATAGCAACACAAAGTGCTCGTTTTTCAGAGGCGAATTCACTCTATGAAATGGACAAAGCTACACAGGAGGTAACCAGTGCCATTGTTGAGGCTCAGTCATTGGCCATGGGTGGACCTGTGACTGGACTCTCTCTTGGCCCAGACTTGCCAACTATCAACATTTCTAGGCCAGTTGGGTTACCGGAGCTTCGGAGGCTAAGAAAGACTTTCATAAAGTTGACTGGCCAATCGAGCTTAAGTGGGCCACCACCACCTTCAGATGCCGACAGTGCAAAGAGAATGTTTATCGACTACTTGACCAGAGAAATCTGAAGTGGATGAAGAATGAGGATGTTACAGGCTATGCTTTGACATCTAACTGGCATCCGGATCCAGCTTTGCATCAAGGTCGGTTTTGTGGTAAATTCTCGACCTTTATATGTTATATATTCCGCAAAAGAATTGCATATTCTTACGAGTGATTTGCTTCTTGAATACCATATTCTAGCTTTTCGTTGCAAACTAACCATCGTTGTTATGGAAAATGTCAGCAAAAAAACTAGTCTACTGTTACAGCAAACAACATCCTCCTTGGGAACTTTTTGTCCAAATTGCAGTTTTTTGGGGGGCATATTTATAAGAATGCTTTTTCTTTGTAACCAAAAGAGAAATACAATGTATGTTGTGGTAAAGTCAGTTTTATGGCATTTTCACATTGATATGATGTCTTCAGCTTCACTGTATTTTCCAACTGCAGGAAAAGAAAGATTTTGTTGTTATTTTTTATTTCATCAATTTCTGATTATTATTAAACCGATTCAAACCCAGATGAAGCTTTGACCATTTAGAGAAAATAGAACGAATATTGTAGGATTTGCAAAATTTAAATCGGTTGCTTCCGGTTGAATGTATGTTGTCTCGTGATCATCATGTGGAATTGTGGATAATGATTGTATCGAGTTCGAGCTTGATTCGAGTTTCAAACGAGTTTGAGTTTAGAAAATTGCTATCGAGTTCGACTAAAGTTTAGTTTTTAGTTGCTCGCGAGTTTCGAGTTGAGTTATAGCTTGAGAAATGGCTGTTGAATTCAAGTCGAGTATTCTAATACTCAAGTTCGACTCGCATCATTTACACCCGTAGATGACACTGATAGTTCTCGAATTGTAATGAAGGTTTTAACTGAATTGAAAAATATACAAACGAGTCACCTGATTTTATAATTAAATGTATTTAAATTAAATCCAACAAAAGAATTAAAAATAATGTATTATTGGTATCATCTTGACGGAAATCACTGCAAGTTAAGCCACCAATTCTAAAGTTTGATAAATGTGTAAATTTTTTAGTCTATTTATATTAGACTTGGAATTATGTGAGACCAGATTGTTTTTGTGAGATACGTAAGTATGCTACAAATTAAACTACTGAACAAAACTTGTAGCATACCCATTGCTATGTTTAGGAAAGAGAGCAAATTGGTTGCTTGTAACAAAGTTAAAAGAGAGACATGATGATCTACTTGGATGATGATGAATAATGGGTGATTGACTTTTTGAACCATCTTAAATAGCTCTTCGTAGCAAAAGAAACCGAAATTGGCAATAATTGAGCGATTTTGGACCAAGGGTCGAGCACAACAAAATTTTCATTTTGCATTTATGCTTCTTTGCTCGTTCTTGCAAGCTATAGTGTTTGTTGGCAGAGTCACAAAATTGACGGTTAGGTTGCAACAAAAAACCAAGCAAGATGACCCAAAAAGTCGATCACTCTGATGGCGAATTTTGAGAAGTTCAGTTAAGAAAGGCCTTGTGAATATAGAAGTTAAGAATGCTAAGCTATTTACAAAACATTTATTGATGAGGGCTCAACTGGTCACTTACCTTACCGGATGAGCATGACAAGTACCAAAAATCTTACCCGGTAAGAACGATAATAAAGACCGAGAGTCTTGACCGGTAAACGAGGGTGATGACTCTTACCCGTTAACGATTACCAATTAAACTGTTGCATACAATGCCGTTTTAATGTATTAAAATATTACTCGGTAAGGTAAGTACGAGTGCTGACTTTTACCGATAATCACTTACCGGATAAATGTTTGCATAACCGGCCCCTAAGTATGGAGTCAAATTTCAGAAGACTAACTTTAGAAGACAAATCTTCATGCATATGTTTATTAAGGTAAGTGAGAATGATGACTCTTAAATTAAAAAAAAAAGTTATGAAACTATTAATTTTTTGAAATATCTGGTTGGGGGTATCTTTTCCTTCTCTTCAGTTGGGTTAACCCAACGATCAAATATAAAAAGAAGAAAATACGACTAAGAAGAAAAAAGAAAAGGGTACTAAAAAGATAAAAAAAAGCAACAAGATTCCATGTGAGGAACCTTTTAAAATAATTGCTTAAAAAGGGTAAAAAATGATTTTATTTATTATTTCAAGAGTTATTATAATCAAAATGTTTAAAAAACTAATATTTTATTAAAAAATATATTGAATATTATATTATAAAATATTTAATAAAAATTCTTAAAAAATATTTTTATGGATAAAATACTGTTTATTAATGCATGTTATTTAAAATTTAAGATTACAAGTAAATTGTACGTAAGTATAACTTATTAAAGGTTTATTTTTGAATTCGTATAAATAACTATAGATAAATATAATTAAACACATAATAAACATCTCATTTTAAATATAAAAAATCTAAAATATAATTAAAATAATTATTGAGTTCTAATATAATCATTATTTATAGAAATTATATTGTTAAGTCAAAAGTAAATTATTTCATTACTAAATCTAAATTAAATTATAATAATAAAAAATTAAATTAAAGAAATTGTATAAAAAATGAAAACTTTTAAATAATTCATTTGATATTAATATCAATATATTCTTTCACAATTTTATAATATTTTTAAATTTGTTTTTATTCAAAAGTAAAAACATTATTTTTTGCAAAACCATATAAACCGTATTATATCAATAGGTATAAAATGTAAAAAAAAAATTAAAATAAGGATGTATCTCGTGTGTTACGCCAGAGTACCTTTTTATAATCTGTACTACCTTATAAACTAGATTTATCAAAGTCTTACAAATAATTTTTAATGCATAAAGTACTACATATTTATGCACAAAGTCTTGAAAATAACTCATAATGTATTAACTCTTAAAATATCTTAATCTACAATTAAAATAACATAGAGTACAAGTTACCAATGCACATTATTACTTTTTCTTTTCACGTTCCCAAGATACTTTTGACATTTTTCACTCATGCCTTCACCCTCTCATACCTCTATGTCTTCTCCTGATCCCCCAAAGTGAGATTCAAATTGATATTCACCATGAGTTATTAAAAGTTATCTTATTCATCTCCCATTCAATTGCTATAGAACTCTCGGTCTTGTTCTCTTGATCTTTGCTTTTAGTGTAAATTGAATATATTTGTGGAGTCATTTAAGTATGTTGGATTTTAAACTGTTATACAATTTTTTTCGTCGATAGACTGTAATTGAAACCATAACTCTTATTTATTCAAATTGTATTAATATGTAAAGACCAAATATAACTTATATCATCGTTAAACCTACTCTAATAAAACTAATAAAATTTTAAAATTCACGACTCTCGTCACGTTGCACTGATACACAACTGGTATTTAAAAAAAATAGAAAACCACATTTTGATTTATGGGAGATGCTATTAAAACTTAACCCAGTCTCTATTCTTTACAGACCGGCGACCGCGTTATAACTCCGTGTAGACCGGCTATAGCCGGTACACACTACACCACAAATTTATCTCCCTGTTTCTTACTTTCAAAACCTCAAAACTCTTTTCTCTACAGATTCAACTCTTTCTCTATCAAGAATTGGTCTATAATTTCACATGTTGTGCTTAATGCAAACTGACTTTGTTAAGAGATACCTTTCTTTCTATACCTAGATCTCTGTCACGCCTGACGATCTTCAATCCGGTGAGCTTTCAGGCTATCTTTCTCTTTATCTTGATTTTCACTATTCTTGCTACTATTGCTTGAGGTTAGAGGATTGATGCACCCATACTGGAGTCTTAGTCTATGGGTTTAATTTCTTGTTCAGCTGGACAAGTTATTAGTTCACTTTTAGGGCAGACATTAGAATCACACATATAGGCCTCTGGGTGGAACGTGAAGGGAGAGGGAGATTTCCGGAATTAGTGAATTGGATTTTAGTTTGTATGCCAAAATTGGATTTTGGTTTGTACGTTTAAATTTTGTTTTTAGATTGGCGCTCTTAATTTACTTGTAGACGCATGTAGTTTGAGAAATCTTACTAGTATTGTTCAAAATTTAAAAGCCCATAAGCTGAAAACAGCTTATCCACTCTAAACTACTATCTATAAGTCCGTAGACTTTGTATGAGAGCATTCTTGCTAGCATCTCACTGATTATGAGAACCCTTATGCTAAAAAAATGGGTTTTCTTTCGTGGGTTTGGACTTGGATTTGTTGCTGCACCCAAGCAAATTAATTACTTGGTGTTTTAGGGTGTTTGAAATTCATGAACTGGCAGTTATTGACCATGTTAACTCGTATGTTCAAAACATCTTTTTTTATTTGGACACTTGAAATTGGGCATAATGTTCACTTTCATGTAATCATTAAAATGTGAGTTCATTTTCTTATTAGCAGTCTCTTTCTCTTGACATGCAAACATAATTCCAGTTTTCTTCTAAAATTATTTATTTGGCACCCTCTTTCTAGAAGAGAGGAGTCGTTTATTATTTTTTACATCAAAGCAGGTAGTCTCTACCGAAATCAATACAAATGATTTTATGTTTCTTACACCAACTTTTGGATTATTATCTCTTATATATTTTTGTGTTGTTATGAACTTTTCCACAATCTAAAAAGAATCCTATCATTTAAAGTGAAAAGGCAGCCATTTGACTCCTAAAAGAAAATAATGGACTTCTTTTTTTCAGTTGGAGGGATGGGAGAGGGATGGTGTACAATTTTCTGTTCTGTTGTTTTGTTTTCTTGCTTTGTTGGTTCTAGAGTGAATTGAGATGTAGTAACTTGTTATACTGTATATCCTACACATACAGGGTTGTAAATGTCTCACGTGGGACATCTGTGGGAGCGTTTGGTCCGTGCCGCACTTCGAAGGGAGAGGACTGGGACTGATGCTTATGGGCGGCCTACCGGTGGCATTGCTGGAAATGTCCCATCTTCGCTTTCTAACAGTAGGGACATAGATCCCATTTTAAGAGCAGCCGATGAAATTCAAGATGAAGACCCAACCATTTCTAGAATTTGTATGTATTTCATTTGCAGCTTCTTTTCAATATGCTTATTTGTTTGTTTAACGTTTATATAGTTCCTTTGTCCATGACAAACTGACTGGTGCTTCAGAGCTAGGCTAGATCTGGAATGTTGGAAGATAAGTAGATGTTTATTGACGGATTATCAACGTCTGATTGTTCTGTCTTTGCACATTCAACAATGTATATATAAGTATGTATTTTGTCTATTTAAAGGATTAATAGAACACGTTGAGCCAAATCTTTTTCATGTAAAACTTGCTTGATCTAGATCGGGGGTAATTTTTATGCTTACCAACTAGAACAATCAGAAACATAATGCAATCAAAGCAAGCTCATCCAAGTAAGTGAAACCCAATTTCAGAGCTATGTATTGTAAATTATATGGTACAAGTTGAAGGAAATGTATTCTATCAAAAGACATACACCATATTTGGTTCTTGACTATTTTTTAAGTAGGGTTATGTGAAATTTGAAGAGTAGGTATGTAGTTGGAGAGTGAGAGCATCTTTCACAGATTCTCCAAAATTACTCCAAAATTGAGAATCAAAATTTAGAATCTCCAACAAAAAATACATTCAACTCCAACTTCTCCAGTTTGTAGATTACAACATTAATTATATTATGAAAATATTCCTTACATTTAATAAAGTATTATTTCTCTATCCTAGACATTTAATTTCAAGGTTTTTTTTAATTGGTAGGAATATAATAAAAAATATTAGTCTCTCATGGTAATCATTTTTTGTGGAGTTCCCAAAATTTGGAAAATTTCACACTGCCTCTCCTACTTTCTCTATTTCGGAGAATCTGTTGGAGCAAAAAATTCGTCCAAAATCTCCATTTTCTCCATTTTAGAGAATCTGTTGGAGATGCTTTAAGGTTCTCTTTGTCATGGCATGTTTGCAATATAAAGTTCTGATGGCTGAATGTAGCTGAAGCTCAGTTCGTTATGTTGGCACACTTTAATTTTTTTCATGAAAATCATAACCTTCTAGAATAGTGCATGTAATTGACACCAGTGCGTTACATAGTTTCTTATGCGGGTTGTGTAAATACTTTTCTCTCCGTATGTTGTATATTTGAATGACCAACCTAGTTAGCAGCTAACCGTAACTGGTAAACTATGCTAAAGATTGTGTTTCTGTTACTTCATTGCAGTATGTGAACATGCTTATACGCTGGCTCAGAATCTGGATCCCAACAGTGAAGGGAGGGGTGTGCTACAGTTCAAGACAGGTTTGATGTCCATAATCAAGGTATGCTTTTGAATCAATGAGACAAGTGTCTTGCCTTTCTTCAAAAATAATTGTGCTAGTGCCTGTATTTCTGTGTACAAATTGTATTATAGTTCATTTGAGTGTAAGACGGCTGTAACATATTGATGTTTCCTTCTAAAATATCTCCACTGAATGCTTGCTTTGTTTATACCAGACTAAGGTCTTATATGTAGAGGTGTGTATATATGTATGTATTCAAAGCTTTGAAACAGCACTGATTTCTGTAATACTGTATTTGAAATATGGATGATTGCATTATTGGCCTTTTTTTTGATTAACCTGGATACCCAACCTGCTATGCGAGCTGACTAATCCTGGGGCGACCACCTGCTTTGTGGGTAGCCCGGAGTCACCACATTTGAACCTCCGTAGCCACAAGGGGATTTTTATTCCTCCTTGGATTTGAACCTGGGACCTCCAGGCGGTTTTAACCTTTGGAGCCCAAGCTCAAACCAATCAGGCACCACCCTTGTGGTTAATTATTGGCCTTTTGTATGCAAAGCTGTTGACAAAAACCAAGTATGCATTGTATTTTACAATTGTTCTTTTTTTAATAAAGATAATCTTACAATTATCTGGTCATACAGAATCGGAACTCCCAGTTAAGCACACCAAACCACTACCATTCCCTATGGTTTTAATTTAATGAGATGAGTTTCATTTTGATTGTATTTGTTCAAGTCCGTTCAAGGACAAATCCCAGTTAAATTTGCCATATGATTTTTGTTCATATAACTAGCCAATATTACCTTTTATTTAGGTTTCCTTTTGTACTGTGAAAAGACTACAATGAGTGACATAATCATTGGAATAATATCTTTTAGAAAACCCTCTGGAGTTCATAAAACAAAATCATAACTATGATTGAGGCAAACATGGAGAGAGAACATATGTTTGAAGTAACATAACTGAGTGACTGAACTGTTTAATGCATACCCAAGCGATAGAAGTAAATGCCTAACTGGGAAAAGTATGAAACTATATAGAATTGAGAACGTTGTTTGTTTGGTGCTGTAATTATATTTCAACTCCAAAAAGCATAGGGACACTGAATATGCGGTTTTAAATACCCATCTAAAAGCAAACCACACTTATTAACTGCTGTTGCAGTCTATTCGATTGGTTGAAGTTGCTATCATGGTTTGGTTTGGTTCCTTTCTGACACCCATAGGTTTTGGTTGCTAATTCCTATTTCTTGTAAAAAGTTCTAGTTGAGCTTGAGGAGTGTGTTCTGTAATACACTTATTTGATATTTTTTCTTAATATTCTACTCATAACATGCATCCTTTTCACATAATATTTATTTGGCAGCAAAAACTAGCAAAGAAGGAGGGTGGAGTCACTGACAGAAGTCAAGACATAAGTCGTTTACGAGATTTCTATAAGCTATACAGAGAGAAGAATAATGTGGATAAGCTACGGGAGGAGGAAATGGAACTGAGGGAGTCAGGTGCTTTTAGTGGAAACTTTCGAGAGTAAGGATCTGTTTGTCATCTTTCCATCTCTTATCTCTCCTTGTAATAGATTTTAAATTTGGCTTGTTTTTTCATACTCTTTTATGTTGCGAGATTAGGCTAGAACGAAAAACTCTGAAGAGGAAAAGGGTTTTTGCAACTCTTAAAGTTTTAGGAACTGTATTGGAGCAGCTTACAAAGGAGCTTTCTCCGGAGGAAGCAGAAGGATTGATTCCTGAAGAGGTTTGTCTCTGGTTAATTTAAATTCAACGAATATAACATGTCTGAATGATGTGCCAACATATATTACTTTGGGCTATTTTTTTGGTTGCTGTACTCCTTGTTTTCTAATTTCTACTTCATAGGCTATCATAACTTGTTAATGTTTTCTGTCAGGTCTACATAATTGGGCATGTAAGCTTTGTAGTTGTTAATACGATTTGTGTCAAATATTAGTTGAGAGCTACATTTGCGTATAGAAATATTTCCATAAGTTAGCTCTGCGATTGTATGAAAAAGTTCATGTTTTTTTATTCAACTAATTTTCTTGACTTGTTGGACTTTTCGGTTTGACTTTTAAATGTGAAGTACGATGTGATACGAATTCCTGTTTGCTGGTGCATCATACAATGACATTAGTTGCCTTTGTGTAAATGGAGGATCATGGCTAGATATATTTTTCACATGTCTGATGTATATAATAAGCTTACTGTTAGTGTGTCTCAATTTGTATGTGTGGTAGAAAATCTTCTAAAAGTATCCACATAAGAGAACATATTTAGAGTGTCAGTATACAAGTTAAATTTATGCATTTATAGGATTCTAATGGTTGCTCCAAAATTTCAGTTAAAACGGGTGATTGAATCTGATGCAGCTATGACAGAAGACCTGATTGCTTATAATATTATACCTCTTGACGCTCCTGCTATAACAAATGCTATTACTTCATTCCCAGAGGTGATAACAATTTCATTTATATCATGGCTGTCCGATTCATAAATTTTTGTTAGTACTATTCGTATTCAAGATGCGATGAATCTATGCTCAGGTACGTGCTGCGATATCATCATTGAAGTACTATAGAGGTCTGCCAAAGTTGCCAGCAAATTTTCCAATACCCGCTACCAGGAGTGCTGATATTCTCGACTTTCTGCACTATGTTTTTGGATTTCAGGTTGGTAGTTGATGATAATGTGGAAACTTAAAGAGGTGTTTGGGGGTGAGAAAATGATATTTATGAGGGTTCTTTTTTTTCTAATACTTCATGCAAGTGAGTAAAGAATGGGATTTCACATTTATATCGTGCTTTCTAGTATGCTATCTTTGTCCGTCAGGAGATGCAAATTCTTGGCCTTGAGTTTCACTTGCCTTTCCAAAGTTTGTGACAATGCCAAATCTCTGTGATATTATTGTTGATCTCATAGCTGTCAGTGTTGGAGGTCCTCTTTTTTACTTTGTGTATCCTTAACATCTAACAATTAACTAACTACATATTTAGTACAATTTCTGCATTTTTAATATATCAACATGGTGGCTTAATCATCTTTGGAAGTTCATAATGATCTAAACTATTGAAGGGCATGAAGACGGGATCTGTATCTTCCTTTCCATTTCAACAATAACCATTTTTTGAAGTGTTTGCTTGGACCGAGATTTTGGCCCTGATATTTTTATTGTTGTTGTTTGGCAGAAAGGTAATGTTTCAAATCAACGGGAGAATATTGTCAATCTTCTCTCAAATGAGCAAAGTCGACTTGGTATCCCTGATGACCATGAACCGGTAGGCTACATATATATCCTGCCTTTTGATGTTGTTTGTTATAGTTAATTTTTTAAGATGCCTTCTTTACAATAAGACAGCAGTGATGACCATCAGCAAAAAAAGTGAAGTGTATACCTAGGCATACATCCAAAAAGAAGATTAGCATAGAAAGAATGCAAAGGGGACTTATGTGGTCTGCTGTAGATTTTATGGACATGGCCAAGAGTATACTAGCTGTCAATATTTAAGATTATATATACTACCACCATTCCTAGGTGTTGTCACTGATTAAGAGAAAATAAACTGGACCAAAAAAATGAAGTCATTAAATTTTAGTTATTTTTTCTTTAGCACAATTGTACAAATTCCAATGCCTATTGAAAATTGTGACATCACATCTACTTCATATTACCATTTGGACTCCATTTCTTGCTCTTTTGGAAGGATATATTAGTATATGTCTATATGAAAACGATGCATACTATCTGACACTCCAGAATTTCTATAGAATCTCCTGAATAGAAAAAGGTGAACAATTCAGGAATGTGGTTTTTTCCGGAAGGAAATATGAAATGTTTCAATTTGCTGTTTTTGTGGGGGTAGTGGAAAAGAAATTTTTTAACTTTTCTGTTTGTAAACGAAATATCTAAATTGGTGGACTGTGATTTGTATCAGAAACTGGATGAGACAGCTGTGGAGAGAGTATTTTTGAAGTCCCTTGATAACTATATCAAGTGGTGCACCTACTTGGATATCCCGCTAATGTGGAGCAAGTATGACATTTCTAAGCCTGTGATTTTTTAGGGGTTTGCTAGAGAACCCTTTTTTATGATTATCATATACACTCCCATGAAGGCGAAATTAGACTCTGTCTGACGATGTGCGTGTTTGTAAATTCTTTACTCTTTCTCTTTTGCTTTTGCAGTTTGGACCTCAGCAAGGAAAAGAAGATACTTTTTATCTCTTTGTACTTTTTGATATGGGGTGAAGCTGCCAACATCCGATACCTTCCAGAATGCTTATGCTACATATTTCATCGTGTAAGAATTTTTTTTAAAGTATCGTGTAAGAATTTATGAAGTAAATTGTTGTTCTTCGTTTTCATTTTTTATTGAGTTCTTTCTTTATCTTCTCATGTTTTGTAATGTTAGTGTCGTTTCCTATGTGATGAATAGCGTGGAAGTTAGAACTTTTCTTGTTAAAAGGAGTAATTATTCATGCTGAAAAGTATAATACAATAACTGGAGCCCCTTTCAGATGTACTGGTATTTTTTTAATGAAATATGTTGTTATTTCGGTTTTAATTGGTTTATATACCTTTTACATACTTTGTTCTGGAAAAATATTATTTTGTTTGTTTTTCACTTTGTTGGGGAGGGGCTCTTTACTGTTCCCCGGCATTGTGTACCATTGGCTTAAAAGTCTTTCTTGTTAGCTTTTAACGAAATAAGTAGATTCCGTTTCACCATGTCAAATACGGAATTTGTCTGATAAGGCCCAAGCACTAGTTATAGTATAGCCCTTGTTCTTGACAGAAATTTATGTTGTGATTGTGTTATATATTCGTTTATGATTCTGCAATGTTATGTGCTTTGAGCTCCTCCAGCGAATTGTTTGTATGCTTGGGTTTTTCATTTTATTGGATCCATAGGTGTGTAAAATTGATTCAGATGTTTTCAGATTGTTTTAACTCGAAGTTTAATCAACAGATGGGAGAAGAATTGGATGAACTATTGAGGCAGCAGCTTGCAAAGCCAGCTGACAGTTGTGTTACTGAGAATGGTGTTTCATTTCTTGAACAAGTCATATGCCCTCTTTATGATGTTATTGCTGCGGTATGTGACATGTCTTGTGAAATTCAATTGTCATTTGCAATATTAGGATCTGCATTTGTATTGGTAGATGATTTGAAGTGCAATTATCTTTGGTAATAGACAGGACTAATGCGTCAACTCTACCATAAGATACTTTGTGGGGGTGGCACATTTTTGTTGTTTACTTGCTTTGACTGCTTTAAGTGGTATGAATGTTGCTTTTTGAGATTTGTATGAACTGTTAAAGACAGCGTTGTCTTTTCTAGAATCTTGTTTTCCAATATTGTGAATGTAAAAGGTTTTACAGTCTGCAGAAATACTAACTAGTACATTTGATTTTGCAGGAGGCTGCCAATAACAATGATGGGAAGGAGCCTCATTCCACGTGGAGAAATTATGACGATTTCAATGAGTACTTCTGGTGAGCTTTATGTACCTTCTTTATGATGCTTTATATTTTTATCTTATTTCACAGAGTCACACTAACTCTATTGTTTCCAGGTCCCCTAGTTGCCTTAAACTTCTTTGGCCATTCGATAGGCATTCGTCTTTCTTTTGGAAGCCAACACCAAGGACAAAGGTATTCATCTTGTGATCTTTCTTTCTCTGTGGACAGTACAGTGATATTCTATCATGTTGTCCTGTTAGTTTTAGATAACATATACAAATCAAGAAGATACATTGGAATATCCTCAAGTTTCTCTTGTAAAGGAAATATATATATATATATACATATATATAGAGAGAGAGAGAGTCGGGTTCAAATGAGAATTGTACCTATTTAAGAGAATAAGAAAACGGCCAAATCACATATGGTTTTACATTAACATCACGTACAAAGTCACATGCGATTCACGCGACTTTGCCCCGGGACCTGAAGTCACGAGAAAAGTCGCCCACACACCTTTTTTGACCTTTAATGTAAAGTTGCATGTGATTTTGCACGTGATTTGGCCGTTTTCGTATTCTTTTAAATAGTTAGCATTCTCATTTGATCCTCCCTCTATATATATGCATATACATGTATCTATATGACAGGGTACACAAGGAATGCCATCAAATTTCTTTTATATAGTGAACATATATGACTTTATGTATGGATGTAATCTTCGGTATTGCATCCTTGTACCAACTCTCAGAGCAAGAGGCCCTTTGTCCCATGGTATGACTTCCACCCAAGTGTCGTGCCTGTGGGTGTTTTTGCAAGTCAATTTATTAAATGTATTTTGTTGATACCATTGTATAATGTCTTTGCTTTCTATAATTGGTGATGGAAGCTGAGTAATCTGGTTATAGATAATGGATATTCCTGTCAGAGGTGGATCCAGATTTTTTTTTCTCAAGTGGGGGCACAAAAATAATAACATAATATAAAATATAACAAAAATTACTTAGAAAAAATACAGGTTGATTAAAAATGACACACCAGTGGCTTTTTGCAACACCCAAGTGGTTTTTTCTTTTTTCTTTATGTTGCTGTCACCAAAAAATTAAAAAAGAGCCTAAGGGATTTGAACTTGCAACCTATAATACCACATGCAATGGCATTACCAGTAGGCTGCAATGACTTTGACCACGTCGATGATAGAGATAGAGCGGGTGCACATGCACCCTCTTGACTCTTCTCAAATCCTCCCCTGATTGTTGCGTTTTGTATCATAGCTTTCTTAACCTGTAGAAATAGCTAACAAGAAGATGCGTGTATTTCTTCATATCACCCTTTTCTTTCATTTCCTAAACATAGTTGCTTTCGTTCATACTTTATTTTTGGTAAATTTCAAATCAGAATTGTTTCTAATCAAATATGGTTTTATTTAAATCTTTTTAAGTACATTATGCAGAACATATATGGCATTTCCATGTAACTTTCTTTGACCACCTTTATCTTTTTTCCGTTACAGAATATTCTTAAATCGAACGTCACTAAGCGTCGCGGGAAAACATCTTTCGTTGAGCATCGGACATTTTTTCATCTTTACCATAGTTTCCATCGCCTGTGGATATTTCTTTTCATGATGTTTCAGGTCGGCCACTTGTCACCATTGATGGTTACTAGGGCATACTAGCTTGCAATGTCTTTGGCTTTATTTAAGTTCTTTGGCACATTCACTAATACTGAAAATTTTCCTCCCCACAGGCACTTACAATAATAGCATTCAATGATGGAAATCTCGACTCCAAGACGATACGTGAAGTTCTTAGTCTAGGCCCAACATTTTTTATTATGAAGCTTTTCCAAAGTAGGTGTCATTCTTGCATCTTCATTTAATGAACAATTTGCTCTTTAAGAATTCTAGTTCCTTGTTCTTTATTGTTTCTTTTTCCAGGTGCGTTGGACATTGTGGTGATGTATGGTGCCTATTCTACAACAAGGCTCTTGGCTGTTTCGAGGATTTTCGTTCGTTTCATTTGGTTTAGCTTCGCGACCATCTTCATATGCTTCCTTTACGTGTATGTACCTCCCTCAATTTAGTTTTGCATCATGTTACATTTGATTGCATTCCATTTTCTTCTTCCTGCCTCGCTTCAAATTCTCACACGCCCACCTTTATTAACCATTACAAGATTTTCTTCTATACCATCTCATTTCAGGAAAGGTCTCCAGGAGAAGACTAGTTCAAACTCGGAGTCGATTATTTTCAAAATATACATAATTGTTCTAGGCATCTATACTGGTATTCAATTCTTTTGGAGCTCGTTGTCACGGTTACCATCATGTCACCGTCTGTTCAACCAGTGTGATGATTGGTCCTTAGTTCGTTTAATCAAGTGGATGCATCAGGTTGGCATTCTATGTCTTGTAGTTTTATATTATTTTGGTTCTGTATCATAACCCCTTACTTTTTGCCAATGATAACAGTTTCTATCTGATTTCTATTTTAGGAACATTATTATGTTGGTCGTGGCATGTACGAAGCTACAACTGATTATATCATGTAATGACTTCATCCCTTTATCTCTTTTCTAATTTTGTTGCCTTTTGATTACCGTCATATTAGGTACCACTAGTGGGATGACATTGAAAATGTGTCTACGACTACTTTGAAATAGATAGGAAAAAATTGGATTCTGTAGATCCTCAACAATCTGTCTATAGATGAAATAACTGGATAAGAAACAGACGTATAGAATTGAATACCTCCTGCTAACTGAAAGTATTCTAAAAATCTACTATCCTAAACTGGTGTTTTGTGTTTCAACAAGATTTGAACATGTGTTGAGTTGCTTGGCAAGTGTTGTGCATTGTTTGTTTATTGAAATTGATAATTTGATTGGTGTTCTAACCCGTTGCTAGGTTATCATTCATATGTAGCGCGATGAAGCTAGAGCACTTTCTAAAGCTTGATTTAGTATAAAGGGAACTTGTTTGGGTGCAGTTTCAAAGAATGCAGTTTTTATGGTTATTAGTTAGGAAGTTTTTTGGGTTGGGAGTTGGACTTTTTAGTTCTTTTGTTAAGTTAAATTCATGGATTTAAACAGTTGCGTACTTTTGCTCATTGATTTAAGAAAAAGCTTACAAATTGGGAGTGTTCTATTCTAGAAAATATAATATATCATGCAGAGACTTCTAAGGCTGAGCATTTTCTTTTTGAAGTCCCAAGATTTGATATTTGTCCACCATGAAGGTGTACATTCTTGCATAACTTAAGGTTGTTTATTTGAAAAACCAGACTGAACATCCTTGAAATTCCACCCGAAAGTAGGATCTGGGGAGGGGGGGGGGATGTACACATACCTTTTCCTCGCTTCCAATGAGTTAAAGAGTTGTTAATTTGAAGACCCTGCCTTGTGAAAAATTTAGAAAAAAATGAAAATAAAGAATAGTGGAACACTACAAGCAATAGAGACGACAGAGAAAGTACAGTAAACTAAGATTAAAAGGAAGTGCTGCTTCTAACTACTTTAGGGCACTGCTAGCCACAGGTCAGCTCTACAACCCTTCCCCTAGCCCACCCTCTACCTTGCCATCCCTTCCCCTCATCTGCACCAGTCCCTACAAATAATCTGCCACCCTAGTTTTGCATGTCTAGGAACTCCTATCAGAGCTCACGTCTTTGGAAAGATCTAAACCCACCATGTCCCGCCTTAGCTTCTCATCCCACATCTCTCTTGTCCGGACCCTTCTCACTCCGTTCATTGTCACACTCTCCGCCTCCTTCTCATCAGTGTCGGCCTCTATCTCCTGCAAACATGTCCAAGCCGCCAGAATTCCATCTCAGTGTCCTTGTTTCTGTGGCTTCTTTATCGGTCAACCATTAGACCCTTGTACAGCTGGTCTGATTGCCACCTTGTAGAATTTGCCATACAGTTTAGTGGGACCTTTCTGTCACACAAGACTCATGTGGCAGCCTCCACTTTAACGCCCCCGCCTTTTGTAATGACTTTCTCTACCTGTCCATCTTTCTGAATCAAGGGGTTCAGATACTTGAGGCTGTGATTTTGACTATCCTTTGCCCTCGAATGTTGACATCTAACCTCTCGTCAATACGCTGTGTGCTGAAATTGCACCATAGGTTTTTGGTGCTATAACGGCTGGCACAATGTCGTCAAGAAATAACTTGCACCATGAGACACTCCCTGGATTGTGTGGGAAAACTCATCCAAGATTAGCACAAAAAGGAATGGCCTAGTGCCGATCCTAGGTGCAACCCTGTTTTCACTGAGAAATACTCGTTCTCATCCATTCGGTGCTTTTCGTACGTGCATATCCTGTATTTCCCCGACATACCTCTATGGTAGCCCTTTATATTATTTGAACAATCTGATGTATATGTAAATTCAAGGCACTGTATTTTGTACGCATGCTTGTAATGTTATATGCAAACTTCATAGTGTGCCATCTCCCTTGACGTTGCTGACGAGAAGCATGACCTACAAATTTCGTTCTTAGTTGGTTATGATGATTCGTCATTTGTGTTTCTGATTATTTGGTTATCTAGAATGTTCATAAACGATAAATTAATTTCTCATATTTTTCATGTGGTTGGTGGTTTTCTACTGTCATGGAAATCAGGTATATGCTTTTCTGGCTTGTGGTATTGGGGGGCAAGTTTTCGTTTGCCTATTTTCTCCAGGTAGCTAACTTGTTTTGGTCTTTTGCATGTAGTTCAATATTTCCTATTTCTTTATATTCTTATTTGTGTCATTAAATGGTTATTGCAGATCAGGCCCTTAGTGAAACCAACAAGGGATATAATTGATATTAAAGATGTGCGCTATTCTTGGCATGATTTTGTATCAAAAAGTAAGCTGCAATTGGTGATATTGAAGATATAATTAATACTGGACCCCTTTTGCAAATGCTTTTTTACAAAGTTCTATTCATTGTTCTTGGATTTTAGTAAGATTATTTGCCTGATATGCAGTTTCATGATTTCTCAATACAGATAATCATAATGCCTTGACTGTTGCTAGCTTGTGGGCGCCAGTGTTTTGTGTAAGCTGCTATTATGCTATCTTCTATGTTGTTTTTTACTCTCTCTCTTCATTCTGTCTATTTGGTCACTCACAATGTCCATCAAAACTTCATTTTGTATGTTTGCTATATTAAATGTGCACTTGTGTTTGCTTCAATTACTGATAAGGGATTAGTTTTGCCTTATCCTGGTTCTCATTTCGTACATTATTGTCTGTTTCCGGGTTATGTTTTTCTTCTATGATGTTATTGTTTATTGTATCTCAACTTTTATTATATATGATTAGATTCTGAAGATGCAACCTAGCATCTGATATACACAGTTCAGGAGAGACACTTCATACTATGTTCTAATGCTACTACTATAAACAAGAGTTTCACTTTTTTTCTTTTTCTTGATCCTTCTAAGAATTCTTTATTGTAAATAACTGATTCCCTTATAGGTGACTAACTAAGAATATGAAGATCTTTGTTTTGTAGTTTGTTCCTCAAGTATACATAACTTGGATATGCTTTTGTCTGATTGTCTGTATTACATTTGGGTCATAATGTTATCGTCGAACACAAACCTTAGCCTATACTTTACTGGTTTGGATTATTAGGGGATTATTATCTAATTTGGCACTTATAGGGCACAAATCTGACTAAAATGCTATCAATGATGACTTCTGATGACAAAGATATTTTTGATACTTTTTGAAGACGAGAAAGAGTTGGCCTTGGATGTCTCTATTCAACATGCATTCTTTCAGCCAGTAGTTGATCAACAGATTGCCCGTGCCTACCCATTTTTTCTCATGCTAATTGGAATCCCCTTAGTTATGCTGCTCATTGACAATGAGAGTTTGGGCATGTGGTGGGTTCTTAATTCTGCTCAAGATCCTGCGAATTTGATGATCTAACTTCATTACTATTTGTGATCTAACTTCATTACTATTTGGTCTTCCACAATTGTGTTTATTTCCTTTCCCATGTCACTTGCTATTTTAAGATCTTGTCATCTGCCAATCTATGGAATATGTTTGATATGCTTCTCTCTTTTGCTGCAGATCTATCTTTTGGACATCCACATCTTTTACACTATTATATCTGCTGTTGTGGGCTTCTTGCTTGGAGCTAGAGATCGTCTCGGTGAGGTTAGTGGTTCTTGTGTACTCACATATGTGTGAATCATGGTGGAAAGAGATGCATACTTATCCAAAATTAATTCATAATTCATATTTGTCATTGTTGTTTTTTGGAGATTGCATCATCTTTCCTTGTATGTCACACTGTTGTTTTCTAGTGAAGTATAATCAAAATTTTGTATTTTCCTTGTTTTCATGTCCATTTGGTGTTTGACGATTGATGTTGGCAGTAACGGTGATCTTACATGTGATCCGTTGTACCATATTATGTTTTTGCTTCATAAATCCGCCCACATTAGGATTACTTGTCAACGGTTGATCAAATTTGATCCAAAATCCTTGTAGACAAAGCCAATCATCAGTTCCCAACCATGGGGTGAATGAAATCAGAACCCATTTTTTTTATCATTCAGAAAAGACAAAAATAGTTCAGGATAGCAAACATTCTCTARAATTTCTCTTATATTCAAACCCAGTAAGGATATATAGTCCTTGTTTTTGCCTTTTTTGTGTCTCTGTGATACGTTAAGATTTGGCAACTTGTTTGTTTTTTCAGATTAGGTCTTTGGGTGCCGTCCACAAACTCTTTGAGAAGTTTCCCGAAGCATTTATGGATAATCTCCACATTCCTCTTGCTAACAGGTGTTCTTGATCTGTCTCTGTAACAGAATTTTGATAGGCCCTTTCCCATTTTTTTTAATCCAGTGATGTTTTCTACTGTATTAATGTTTAAATATCTTTTGCAGGGATACCCTAAGGATAACTGGCCAGGTAAGTTGATGATGCCAATCCTTTATCAATAAAATTACTAATACCATGATTGTCTTGGGGGTGCAATTTCCTTAATAAAATTGTTATTACTTGCCATTCTAACATGAAATGTTATGTTCTCTGTGCATTATTTACATTCAAGTTGAAAATTTTCCATTATCACTCCATCATCATCGTTGTTCATTTCTCCTTTCTTTTTTGCCATTCTTGTTGTTTTATGTTTGTCACTGATTTTGCATTTCCGCTTCTTGGTTGACTGCTTGTAATATGTTTCAAGGATGCAAGTGTGAGGATAATAGTGCATCTTATGATGATACCAAGATTTGGCGATTCTAATTTCTTTGACAATATGTAATATGTTTGTGTAGATATGTTGTGTGTGTGTGTATGATATAAATCTAAAAGTAAACAGGCTGCACTAAGGAAATTGTATTTGGTGTTAATAAATTAATATAAAGGTTACACACATGACCGTTAAAAGAATAAAGCACTTACTTATATTAAGCCTTATCCTGTTTGTACATTTACCTTTTGGCCCAGAACAGTCTAATTATCAACGAAGAAGGATTTATTGTCTTGCCTAACCTTCTCTATTTTTCTTGAATCCTCTCTTAGAATTTTGTTTTGCTTTCTAAATTTGTGTTCTATGAATTTTCATCTCTCCATTTTTAAAAAAAGAGACGAACATTACTCCATTTGTGTCATCAATATTGCCTTTCGTGCTCAATGATTTTAGGATGTGGTCCTAGAGATGGGCACGGACCGGTCCAGGAAAACCTGGTTAGGCAAAAATCCAGTCCAAGTTTTGTCCAAACCGGGTTTTATCCG